TCCCAGTGCTTCCAAGAGGCAGTATCAGCCCATAGAAGAACCAGTGCTCATCCATCAGCGAGTTTACCAGGTCTGGTCAGGGCAATGTTTCTCATGTTTCTCCGCTTTCTGAAAGAACATCCAGAAACGATGTGGCGGCATCGGCGAATCCCCCGCCTGATTGGTCTGGCAATGCCCCATTGAGCAGCAGCGTGTTCATTGAAACCTCAGATGGGTTTCCCAGGAGAACCAAGAGATGTATTGTTTGAATATGTTCTGGATGCATTAAATCACCATCACCACTATCACTATCACCACAAACCACAACCACAACTACCAGTACTACAGGAGTGACTGCGACCCTGGCAACGACAACACGGACAATTTGTAAGCGAGTATTCTGTAGATTGTAGATGCATTTGTGTGTGTGTGTCGACAAACTTGGAACAAAATGAACAAAACACGGACAAGCAACCCTTGGATCCCTTGGTCATTGAAGTCACTGGTTGCAGGCTAGAAACGGACACGGTTTTGAAATTCTCATGCTTGCCATCCAACGTCTGCGTGAAGAACTTAGTGCAAGTCAAATCACCAGCCCACCCTGAATGCATGACTGAAGCACCTTTACATGTAGCTTTTGCGTGCTTTTACGCATGAAGCATGACATGGTCCAAAGAATTGTCCAAAGCACAATACATACAAATACATACAAATACTATCACTCTCTGACTGAGGCCAGGATGCAATCGCAAAAACATAAACCAAGCCCAGAAGAAGAAGCAGAGCGAACATCACGGACCGGAACGCAACTCCGATGGCTTTGAGCATAACCTGCAAGCCAAGACTGTCTGTGGAAGCATCACCTGCGGATACCTTCTCGTAACTTCAGAGTCAGGAGTCAGGTTCTCAAGCAACTACAAGTCGTTGCGAGTCATCATGATAGGGTGTGAAATAGTTTTAGGATTTTTTTTTTCAGCAGGTTTGGGAATTTTTTTTGGATTTCTTGGCTGGTACCATTTGCCTAGTGTTTGCAAGGGTTTGGAACTTGAATTTGTCATTTTGCATGGTATTTGCCACATTTGGGCATGTTCACCTTCCATTTTGCATGGGATTTACTACATGTGGGCATGTTCACCTTCCATTGTGTATGGTATTTGCCACATTTTGGCATGTTCACCTTCCATTTTGCATGGGATTTCCTACATGCGGGCATGTTCACCTTCCATTTTGTATGGTATTTGCCACATTTTGGCATGTTCACCTTCCATTTTGCATGGGATGTTCTACATGTGAGCATGTTCACCCAAATATTTACAGATGCAGAAGCTTGGGATTAGATAAAAAGCGGGTGGGGGGGATTGAGGGAGGGCGCTAGCTATCTATCCAGCTAGCTAGCTATCTAGCTATCTATCTAGCAAGCTAGCTATCTATCTAGCAAGTTATCTATCTATCTATCTACCTATCTATCTATCTATCTACTATATCTACCTATCTAGCTAGCTATCTTGCTAGCTATCTATCTACCTATCTAGCTATCTAGCTAACTATCTATCTAGCTATCTAGCTTTCTAGCTTTCTATCTATCTAGCTATCTATCTATCTAGCCATCCAGCTGTCTATCCAGCTATCTAGCTATCGAGCTATCTAGCTAACTATCTATCTAGCTATCTAGTTATCTAGCTTTCTATCTATCTAGCTATCTATCTATTTAGCCATCCAGCTGTCTATCCAGCTATCTAGCTAACGAGCTATCTATCTAGCTATCTATCTATCTGGCTAACTATCTGCCTATCTATTTAGCTATCTATCTATCTATCTATCTAGCTATCTATCTAGCTACCTCTTTATCCATCTAGCTAGCTATCTATCTAGCTATCTATCTATCTAGCTATCTACCTAGCCATCTATCTATCCAGGTATCTAGCTATCTATCTCTCTAGCTATCTATCTATCTAGCTGGCTATCTATCTATCTAGCTATCTATCTACCAAGCTATCTATCTATCCAGCTATCTATCTATCTATCTATCTGTCTATCTATCTATCTATCTATCTATCTATCTATCTATCTATCTATCACATGTAATCCTGTCAGCTTTCCAGAGAAGGTTAGTTCGCAAAAACCAACTAATGTAACTTGGGTTTAAGTTTAAATTTAAAAAAAAGCGGGAGGGGGGGATTGGGGAGGGCGCAGCGCCTCCCCCCAAAGCAGAATGCAAGCACCTCTTCTCACATGTTACGTTGCAAGTTTTCAAGAGAAGGTTGGTCATGTGATACTCAGGGATGTAAATACTGTGCAAAATGCATCTTACATGAAAATCAAGTATTTAAAGCAGGCAAAGCAAAAAAAAAAAAAGCAGAGAAGCAAAAAAGCAGAGAAGCAAAGAAACAGGAAACGCACAAAAGCAAAACAGCAGAAAGGCAAAGAAGCAGGAAAAGCAGAAAAGCAGAGAAGCAGGAAAAGCAGAGAAGCAAAGAAACAGGAAAAGCAGAGAAGCAAAGAAACAGGAAAAACAGAAAAGCAAAAAAGCAGAAAAGCAGAGAAGCAGAGAAGCAGGAGAAGCAGAAAAGCAAAAAAACAGAAAAGGCGAGAAGCAGGAGAAGCAGAAAAGCAAAAAAGCAGAAAAGCAGAGAAGCAGGAAAAGCAGGAAAAGCAGGAAAAGCAGGAAAGCAGAGAAGCAGGAAAAGCAGGAAAAGCAGGAAAAGCAGGAAAAGCAGAGAAGCAGGAATCCAAAAATAATTCCTAAACCTGATCAAAAAAAAAATCCTAAAATAATTAGCCCTCCATCATGATATATCATGATGCATCAAAGCAGCGAAAAGCTCAGGGCAAGCGCGGAGAAGTCGTGCCATCCTCGCCATTCGCGTCAGGCGGAAAAGACGCAGCACCCGAAGAAAGCTCGGACTGCTCATGGCGGAGCCGATGGCTGCCTGCTTTGGCACAGCTACTGGATCCCAAGACAAGCTGAGTTTCTCTATGTTACTGTTTGTTGTTTCTCGTGCCTCCTATAAGGCCCCTTGTCACAAGCATAAAGGCGATTCTGATTATTTCTGATTTCAATTTTGGACCATGCTATATTGTGATTGGAGCGTGCTCAACAACTCATCACAACTCTCTGCTTCGGGTTCGATTTGTGCGGACTAGTTGCAACAACGATGGTAAGGATCCAAGTCTCAAACACCTCGGATGCATCAAAACTAAACAAAACGCTGCGGTGCATCTCGGGAACTTTTAGCTCCTGCACCCTCATGCTGTCATGGCTTTCAGCCAAAGCACCATCAAGCCAACCAACAGCGAGTCGAAGCAAAACCACGCATCTTTAAAGCAGTCTCGCTTGAACCGGAAGGCGCCAAACCTAAAGCCCAGCTCCACGCAAAAGTAGACGCAAAAGAGGTTCTCCACTACGATGAAAACTGGTTCGGCGTCCAGCAGTGTGGACGACTTGTTCAAATCCTTGGCTGGAAGAAGACTAGAATCACTCTGCAAGGGCAAAAAAAAATGCGTGCAGCAGCTTGAAATCTATGGACGAGCAACCGTATCGATCCAAATCCAAATGGAATTGATTGCTATCATGAGCAGGGTCAGGTTCTCAAAACAGCTGGAGCGAGCAATCCTGACGCAAGGGTTGGCACACAGTCAAGCGCAGAATGTTCTGACACGAAAAAAGATCAAGACTTTCTTTCATACAAAGGCCTGGCCTTTGGCAACAACCTGTCTCCCAGTAGAATTGGGACACGTCGTAAGCCTCTTTGCCTGAGCACGCGAGCACGCTACCACCTTTCCAAATCTTTCCCAATCTTTCCCAAGCGTCGATGACATCACCGATCAAGGCAGTCCAGGCCCAATGTGACGCCAAGTTGTGCCAAGTTGTGCCAAGTTGTGCCAAGTTGTGCCAAGTTGTGCCAAGTGGCTCAAATTTTGCTTCAGCGCCCTTTTGAGGGCATCAGCATCAGGGAAAGCTGCAGCCTGAACCACGGTGCGCTGCCCCATGTGTCTCACGACATGGGCAGCGTTGGCAAATCAATACAAAGTCAATGCACAAATACTAAGCAACTTCAAATGTCCAGGAATGTCCAAGCCTGAGGTGCAGAATCCCTGCCGATTGATGGATCATGCGAATGCGAATTCACATGGTGCTTGTCCTGCTCTTTGCTGGACATCCTGGAATTTCTGGATGTCGAGGGCGATGGCACTGGAACCTAGGCATGTCGATGTCAAATGATGCTAAATAATCTACTAAGGTTGTCAGCCAAACTCTCCAAACTTTGGACTCGAAAATCTGGAGCCCGACAGGAGTCCCAAAGAACGGGGTCCTAATGGTCAAAATAGTTTTTGGAATTGTTGAGGATTGTTCAGGCTGGCTGACCGACATTCCCCTAAACACACCCATACCCTGCAGATCCCTGCAGTAAACTAAAATAGACAACGCGAAATCCGTGAGAACCCGTGGTTTCCCACAAAAATCATGTACAAATGGTGCGTGTCGTCTCATCTATGTGAGCTTTCTGGAGGGTATCATCGGTTGTGCGTTGGAGCCCTAAGTTTCCGGCAATGGCCGCTAGACCCACCGGATGGCTTCCCTGAGGCAGCAGCCGATGGGCTGAAAACCGGTGACTCTGGAGACAACATGTGATGCATGGTTGTGACACAAGAGATGTATGTTTCCAAATGTCATATCCTAACAATCAGGTATACTTACAATTAACTGCATGTACGGCATATCTCATAAATTGCATATCATTAGATATATATATATATATATATACATACATACATATACAGTGTATGTATATATATATATGCATATAATATAAAATGATATAAAATAAAATGATATAATATAAGATAAGATAATATGGCACAATATCATATAAATAATATTATATAATATAATATGATTTTATATTTTATAATGTGATGTGATTTTATATTAAACTATATATTAAATCATATATCATATGTTATAATAAAATATATATATACAATTACATGTATGTAAATATATATATATATATTTATGCGTTTGTGCATGATTACGCATGTATATGAACAATCTAATCAATCTAATTACACTGGATACTATCAGATAATAATTATGTTACAATTTGTGCCAGGCGCCGGGGCTGTCCCAGCGGCGCGTAGCCCCTCTCATTTCCATCAACCAACCAGGGTTTCCCATCAACCAAACAAATAACCAACCGTCTGCAGCCCGGAGTCTTCCAAATGGGAAAGGAAGCGAGTCGTTACTGACATTCTTCATGAATCATCAAAATTCCCCACCCCCTCTGAACAAGATGTTGGTAGTCGATAATTAGTTGTAATGGTAAAAGAAGCGGGCCGTTACTTAATTTCTTCATGAAGAATCCAAAATCCCACCACAGAGGTGAATTTCCGCAACAGAGTTTAGACATGTTTAGGTGGTAAAAACCACGGTCCGCATCCAGAACTCATGACTTTCGGGCGGGAGAGACCTCGAATTTGGAAGTAATAAATGCACCAAATGTCCTGTAAATTACCGTGTTTTCAGCTTTCGTCATAGTCGTTAAATGGCCCCTGACAACCTCAAATCCTGGCCAAACACACTTGACATGACCGATCACGCTGCGTCGAAGAGTCTGTTCCAGCTTCACTGTGACTGGGATCAGCCCAAGCCTGCATCAGGTTTGACTATTCCCGAAGGGTTCGGCTACAGCACCAGCGAAGAGCAATTACTATTTTGGATGCATATGGGACTATGTGAAAACGGGTTAACCCCCCTCAGACAGACCCATAGCTCCTCTGCGTTTGCCACAGGCTGTGGGTTCTCTCGACTCAAGTTCTTCGTATGAGTCTATGACACTCTATGACTATGTGATAAAGCTGGCCCGCCTGCGACAATTCAGAGCCTGCAACACGCACGCAGCCATGAAAGAAAATCTGATGAATTTGCCAATGCTCCACACGCTTGACGCAGAGCAATATGGACTCGCCGCACCGATGCCTGCTGGGTAGTCTGACACGTCTTGCTCGTGCAAAATTCCAGGAACGCTGTGTTTGCCTGGCACACGTCAAGGATGCCAGGCAAATGAATAAGAACATTTATATTTAGATATGTCACGTGTTATGTATATATGTGTGTGTGAATGTATATATATATATATATACATATGCACAACAATCTGCACATCAAAATATCATGCATCAAATTCAACTCCGTTCCATACCGTGCCCACCTCCCTCTGAGTCTGCTAGTCGGGACTTCAGCTGTTTGTTCTCACGATGAAGGTGAACGGTTTCCTGGAGTCGGACTTCAGTGAACTCAGGATCACATACTCACAATGTCATGCATGAACAACCAGTTGAAAGATGTCATCAATCACGATGGGCTGGAGGCCATGGGAATCTATCGACACAACTATGTTGACATATGTTGACTATGTTGCGGATGAAAGAGCACCAATTTAAGCAGTCTACACGACGCTTGCGACGCTTGATCAAGTGGTATTTTTGGATCTTTGACACAGGGCGATGGGCCAGGAAGATCGAAGCTTAAGCCTCAGTACATTTTGTTGCCAAGCATCCTTCTCGATCTCCTTCAGCCCTTCGGCTTGTTTGGAGAGGAGGCTCCTTAACAGAAAATTTAGAATTGAATTCCCCCCGATGCATCTGTATAGATTGCCTGTACAGCGCAAAATCATCCTTCCAAATCGCCCAGACAGGCAGAAATGGTGTCGGCCAAGTCTCGTCATCGAGTCACAAGTGGCGCCCACCAGTTTTTGCAAACTATCCACCTGGTGACAGAAGAATCAGAAAAAGGAAGAACAACCTGAACAACCTGGGCATAGAAACCACAAGCGACACAGCCGACACATCCACGCACTAAGACTGTCATGATTTACCTAATGATTGACCAAGATTCCTTGAGAATACAATAGTTCCAAAATGTTGCAGTGATATTCGTCAGATGATACCAGGCAATAACATCCCCAGGACCTGATGAAGAAGTTGCGATATGTTGGAAGGCTTCTTGTGGTCGAGGAGCTGTAAGGGGCCCTCGAGTCGAAGTGTGTGGTGGCTTCGTTGGTGTATTTGGCATGTTTCATGTCAATATCAGAAAGGGATAACATTAGATAGGTATAGATAGGTGGCTTATGGTGGCTTCTTCACAAAAATCACCGCCGCGTGCCAGCTTTTCTTGTCTCGTTTCATCGGTTCGTCGCACCATAGATCACACCATAGATCACACCATAGTCTCATTTGCGACAAGTTATTCTCAGACTGTGCAACAGCAGAGCCAGCCACGACCCGCCTTGTCCATTCTTATCTCTTCCTAAGTTCTTAATTCGCCATGCTCGCCAAAAGAAAGACAACAAAGTACAGTGCGTGAGGCAAGATCTCATCCCGATCAACCCAAGCTTTCAATGCCATTGTTGAACTAAGCCAAGTTGCAAACAGACTCTCAATCCTTTCAAGGTCGGAGGAGTTACCACCACTTATGGCCGACATAAGCTGCCGACCGGCCTGGGCGAAGGGATGTAGGGTGCACTTAGCTTACCCAAACTATGCTCGCGGATATGCTGCTAGATGAAATCGAAGCGGATGAAGCCAAGAGGCAGTCTCCCTAGCACGAGGCAGCAGGACCAGTGCTCCGTTTGAACCACGGTGCTGATCACGTTGGATGTCGATATGTGGTGATGTTTCGCGATGCTCTAAATGAGTTTCAACGGCAACTTTGGATTCTCTTGGACGAAGCAGACTAGCAGGAGGTCTGACAGGGGAGCACTGCATGATCAATCATGATCAGACAGGCAAGATTTATGTCATTTCATTCATGTCACCTTCATATCATGTTTGCATCGCCCGGCATGCTGAGTTTAGACTCTTAGACCTTTTCGTCCTGGGTTCGCACAGAGCTGAAGCCAAAGGGCCAAGCTCGCTGAGCTCAGGGACTATGTACAGGGAAACGCTTGGACCAAACTTTGGGAGGGTCAACGGTCAACGGTCCACCCCCCATGACCCTGGTGAAACATCAGTAGAAGGTGGTGTCTCTATTGAGATGCCTTTGTGCTGACACGTATGCCTCTGATTTGCCAAAGCAACCCCAAAGATAGTTTCCCAGCATCACAGGCGTAACTGGAAAGCCTTTCATCCTGCCAAGCCTGGCCCGGCTGGAAGCGGTTATGTTGGGGAGAAAAATCAGACAACGGCAGCTGCATCCTCTCCAGAAACATGTCCATTGATCCATCAATTCTTCTGGCTGTGGGACCTAGCTATCTTTCCAATCATCTGATCTGTCCGATCTAGCCCCTCCTTCACACAGTCATGAGCGAAAAATCTGTACCATCGCATATCGTGTCCACTCTCCCATGTGCTCATGTTTGGGCTCTACCCCACGTATTGTTCCACCAACATGACAAGTCACCAAGCCATATCCTCCAGTGCTGCCGTGGCAGCTGCTCGGAGGGACACTTCTGCTGCACCGCCGGTCGTCAAGTCGGTGTTGGCATCAAGACTTCGAGCCAAGTCCTTAATTTTCAGCAGGGAAACCAAATGAAACCAGCCAGCAAATCCATGAGCCGCTTTGGCCAATGGATGCCAATTGGAAGCAATGGGAAGCAATGGGAAGTTGTGAGTATGAGGCGCCCGCATTAGTAATGTATGAGTTCAACCGCAGACAATGTCGTGCCAACACATGGCCCATCCATAAGGGCCCATGGATTTCGCATGATTTCGAATTCACGGTTCTAGATTCAACACATGATCCAATAGATGATCCAGTTTCTCCGGCTTTGTAGCTTAATGTCAAGACATGTCAAGACATGGGTCACCTGACCGCTTGTCATGAAGAGCATACACGAAATAAAAAGGCCTTGGAAGGGTTGACTGTTTGTCGCCTGCCCTTCTATCAACTGACTTGCTATCTTTATATAATCTCACAAGGACTCATGAAATTCATTGAAATTCAATTCACTCCTGATTGCCTACAACTATATTTATAGCTTCCCAGCTACAGCTCCAACCTGTCCACGACCCATCGACAATTCCAGGTCATCTCAGGTCACCCCATCGCCAGGCTGCCCAGGTGGTTCTCACCACTTGATGCTTTCGCAACACAGCGATCACCAACGGATCAACGTTTCCGGTCAACAAGTCGATGTCTGCGAAGTCAAAACGATCATCCAACAGGTGGAACCGCTCCTCGGCACAAGCTGGGAATTCAGGCAAGGAATTGGTGATTTAGAAAGTTGCTCTTGTATGCTATTGATTGCTATTGCGGCCTTCGTAGTTGACTTCAAAATCTAAACTTCGAACGAGGTGCATACAGTTCGCAAACCACAGCCTGTGCCTTCTTGTAGAAATAGATGGGCAGGCGCTTCAAATACGCAGTGTCCTGACGCAGCGTCCCTGGGTTCCCCATGGTCAAAACCTACTGGAGTTTGCACAGCACAACGGCGGTGTCCAGACCATGCCTGGAAGGCCATCCTTGGTGCCCACAAATGCTCACAGCCATCAAATTCATGCAAATTCAATGTCTGAATAGTGTCTGAATCCTCTACCCTTAAGACTTTGAAATAACTTTGAACCGAAATGAACCGAACAGGCTTGCATTGACCCAATGAAGGCATACCGATTTGCTTCAGATGAGGCTCGGGAACGTCTCTGCAAGCTCTTGTATCAGCTTGCTCGCTGCATGTTTGTCCCCACGAACTTCGTCTAAAAAGTTCATAAGGTGCTCTGCCATGCTCCTGAGAGACTTCTCATGCCCCCTCCCGCAAGCCTCATACTCACACAACATCACGCAACCATACTACAGGATCTTGCCATACTCTGCCACAATACTCGAGTCTTTGACTAGAAGTTGACGAGTGTCTTCGCATTCTTCTTGATGAGGCCCTCGCCAATTTCACGCACCACCTGCAGGACTTGAAACTTTCCCATGTTATCCCTTTCGGCTTTTCGGGGTGGTAGCTGCGTGGCTGCCATCGGCTGGCCTGGTGCAATTTGTGCACAAACCTCAGGGAACATGTACTGTTTGTGAACTTCTGATTCGTGCTTGCCAGCCACATGCCACCCCAATCACCCTGCATACAGGAAATTTGCTGCTCAGTCGAACGATGTTGATACGATCCTTGATCCCACATTAAGGGCAAAAAAAACAAACGAACCAATCCTGAACCACCCAGTCTTCTAGTTGCATTCAAGCAGCGGTTCCAAATGCTCAGCATTCTCAAGTCCGAGATGCATGGCCATTGCTTTGTGGCTGAGGCTGTACAGCCATTCCTTGGTACACTGAGCGATCACCAGCACTACTCATTCTATCTCATTCTGAAAGTATGAAGGTGCTGGCCCACCTTGGAGACAAAGGGCGAATTCCTACGAAACCAAGCTGTGAGTTTGAGGGTCCCTCCATAGTTGAAGCGAGCATCAGCCTTCAAGTCGGGACAAAGAGAAGAGAGACTCTCCACTCCTTGTTTGACCTAGGATCAGGAAGTGGAGCATGCGTAGCTGTCATTTTTATGTTCTATCAGCGCTCTCGCGTCTTCCTCAGGGAAAATGATCAGAAAATATCAGAAACCATTCAAAAATACAATGCAAATTGGGGTTTATATAATCAAACTATAATTATATATCATCACATGGTTGTTAGATCCCACCTTGCGAAAACATGAAAAACTTGGCCGTCGCCAAAACACCGTGGGCCAAGCACCTTTCCCATGGAAGCTGCGAAGCTCATCACGCCAACTGGATCCGAAGTCCATAGCACCGGCCAACACCACCATGGCAGCTTCCTCGAGGCAAAAAACTCTGGCAGCCCAGCCTGAATGGGACAACTTCGTCCCCGCTTGGACATTAAGAGGCAACATGACGCAATCATCTTTAATTCAATAAGTCACAATAAGATACAATAAGTATGGTTCTATGATTTTGTATTCTCAAATTCCGAATTCCCAATGACTGCAGAACGCATGGAGATTCCCATAGTCCTCATGGATCTGCTGTGAAGCTTCAGCAGCAAGCGGACCCTGAGAGTGGCAGGAGCTGGTTCGTAACCATCGTGAATGATTCATGTGGTAAACCCAAGCCATGTCGAACCATGGCTGCTTTCCAACTGGTGCAAACGGGCATGGTGCATAATGGTGCATCTGTATATACATTGCATATGTTTTTAAACTGCCCATTTCTTGTGAAATTGATTGAATTTGGGGATGTTTTCAGTATGGGTTTGCTGTTTACCACATTATGTCATGTAAATTCTGGACGCTACTGATACGCTGCGGGGTCATTAAAACTGAGACTTCTGCAAAAGGATGCTGGTTCGCCATCGCACAGACATCCTCAGATTTCAGCTGGACCACTTCAAAGCTGGTGGGAAAGACATTTGAAATAAAACTCTTTGATGCTGGTTATTGCTGGTTGATGCTGTTTGCCACTGCTAAGTGCCACCAAAGAGTCCTCAAAATCCAAGGAAGCAGCAAAGCAAGCCGCATTCATGCGGCTCATCCAAGCTGGAAGACTCATAGAAGAAGCCTTAACACTCGCATACACTCGCTAACACTCACGTCCAATTGTTCGACACAAGTCTGACAGCCCACATTGGACACACGCCACTGATCAGCCCACTGCTTGGGGCCACCGAGCGACAACATCTTGCAAAGCACACACAGAATGTCGGGCTCGCTCTTGACATGGCATTGATGCCATGTGCCTCAAAGCAAAAATTCTGCCTCTGGTCGGTGCCTTCCAAAAATGAAAATCTCCAAGGAATTCGGGGTTACCAAAGCTGCTTCTTCCAAAGTACAAGCGACCCGACCGACCCAATTCAAGTAAGACTCGAGAAGTCCGGCAGCTCCTCTACATCGCGCCAAGCTCCCAAAGACGGCGCCATGAGGAAAAAAAGAAAGAACTGATCAATATGTCTATAGAACATTATAGAACTGCCCATGGCCTAGCATCTCTAACATGAATTTCAGCATATTTCAGCCCTGCAAGTTCAAGATGTTTCAAGGTTTGTAGGACATGTTGAGCCCACATTTGGCACATTTGTACAAGAGCTTGTTTTTTCATTGGGAATCTGTGCTGATGGCGCAGGTCTTCTGCGCGTGGGGCCAAAACTTGTGATGGACTTTTGACTCGAAGCTTTTCGGTCCTGATGCCCATGTTGCTAGATGTTACATGCTGAAACCATTTGAAACCAACACAAAACTTGATCTACTCAAGTCTGCATCCAACACTCCGTCCCTCATCCAAAATGAACTGTCATCGTGCTGCTGCATGCCTTTAGTGTGTGCCTGTCACCCGCTCTTTTCTTTCTCTGGACCAGTTAAGTCAAATCCATTTGCATGTGAGGCCTTCCTGGCATGTGAGGCAGCATCCCGTTGCATGTTGATGCGACCTCAAGCTTGAATAGCTCCACTTGCTTAGGATACTTTTGATACTTGTTGAGCACAGTGCTCTTTTGAAGATCTTGAGTTCCACACAGGGCCACCAAAACATGCCTGGAAAGGAAGGGAAGCATAAGAAACGCCAAGCCACACAAAGAACATGCCCGCCTGATGCAGCTGAGACTGCAAAAGCTGAGGCTGCTGAGGTTGCTGAAGCTGGGGCTGCGCATAGGGCAGCATTGGTGGCATTTGTGAGCGCCCATCGCAACCGACATTCGCAGGCACGGGGATATGCACCATGCCCTGAGGTGGGACCTGTGCACCCTGCAGCACGCTCTGCAGGACGCTTTGCGGGAGGCCCTGCGGGAGGCCCTGCGGGAGGCTCTGCGGCATGCCTGGCAGAACCTGTCAGTACCCATTCGTCAGCTGATCCCATCTGAAGTCATCGCAAAAGACCACAAATTAAGAAAGTGACAAATGAATGATTAATGAATGATCCATTTTGATCTCTAGTCTGACATGTCCAGTCTCTTACGATGATGTTGGCATTGGTGGCCTGCGCTGGCACTGGGGACCATGGCAAGTTCACGGCACCTGCTGGGAGCGCTGAAGCTGAGGCTTGGCAGCTTGGCAGCTTGGCAACAAATGTATTCAGATTCAAACAAGCCAACCTGGTCCGAAGTGGGGCGCAGGGTGCTGTAGCACAGGAGCGGCCTAATGCTGCATTGAAAGCTGAAAGCCTCTACTGTTGTTTTTTTTCCAAAATTATTGAGTATCTTGTGGATGGTGTGGGTGGGGTTCTATTGTGGAAAGTTTTTTTCAGGAGGAGCTTTATCCACCTTTATACACCTTTCTTTGGGTAAAGCTGGTCCATTTACTTTAGAAAGCCATATCCATATTAAAGTTTAATTATTAAAGCCTTGAAAATGCAAGGTTTCCCAAATTACACCGGCATAGACCCCAGATAGAAAAGGTTTCCCAACGTGGGAACCAAAGGCTACCATGGCAAGGAACTGCCGGTTCCCAGACCTTGAAACTTACGGTTCCCAACCTGGGAACTAGAGGTTACTATTGCAAGGAATTGCCGGTTCCCAGAAGTTAGAATTTATGTTTTCGAAGCTAAGCGGCTATCATTGTAAGGAACTGCGATTTCCCAAAGCTTGAAACTCATGGTTCCAAGCCTGAAAAAGCATACGTTACCAGTGGGAGGATCTGTTGATTTGCAAAAAGTTAGACCTCATGGTTCTTAATGTTGTTTTGTTTTGTTTACTGAGCCGGCAACAGAACCTTTTTTTTGCTTAATGGACCGGTAGCGGAATGTTTGCGTTCGGCTGCTGGGCCGGCATAAAAATGTTTTTGCACGAAAAAGGTGCATGTTAAAATGATATGAAAATAGTTTCTTTACAACTTTATGGTTTTGCTTAATGGACCGGTAAAGAACGCTTTGTTTTGCTTAATGGACCGGTACCGGAATGTTTGCATTTGGTTCATGGCAAGGAACTGCCGGTTCCCAAAGGTTGGAACTCACTGTTGCCAACGTGGGAACCACAGGTTACCATTGCAAGGAACTGCCGGTTCCCAGAGGTTGGAACTCCTGGTTCCCAACCCGGGAACCAGAGGTTACCATTGCAAGCAACTGCCGGTTCCCAGAGGTTGGAACTCATGCTTCCCAACCTGGGAACCATAGGTTACCATCGCAAAGAACTTCCAACTCCTAAAGGTTGGATGGTTCCCAACGTGGGAACCAAAGGTTACCATGGCAAGGAACTGCCGGTTCCTAGACCTTGAAACTTACGGTTCCCAACCTGGGAACTAGAGGTTACTATTGCAAGGAATTGCCGGTTCCCAGAAGTTAGAATTTATGTTTTCGAAGCTAAGCGGCTATCATTGTAAGGAACTGCGAGTTCCCAAAGCTTGAAACTCATGGTTCCAAGCCTGAAAAAGTAACGTTACCAATGGAAGGATCTGTTGATTTGCAAAAAGTTAAAACTCATGGTTCTTAATGTTGTTTTGTTTTGTTTACTGATCCGGTAACATAGACCCGGGCAAGCCGGCGGCGGAAGTTTCCCAAGAATAAATGACCTATAGTTCAAGGCCAGCCTGTCCCGAGCGTGTCCTTCCCTCGACAAGCGGTTTTTTTTTCAGCGAGAGACGAAGCAAAGTCTTCACACTCCACACTTCACACTTCACTCTTCGCACTCCAAACTTCACACTCCACAGTCCACACTTCACACTTCTCACTTCTCACTGCTTCCTTCACACTCCAAACTTCACACTCCACACTTCACACTTCGCACTTCACAGTCCACACTTCTCACTTCCCACTGCTTCCTTCACACTCCAAACTTCACACTTCACACTTCTCACTTCGCACTTCACACTCCACACTTCACACTCCACACTTCACACTCCAAACCTCACACTTCACACTTCTCACTTTGCACTTCACACTCCACACTTCACACTTCACACTTCTCACTTCGCACTTCACACTCCACATTTCACACTTCACACTTCACAGTCCACACTTCACACTTCTCACTGCTCACTGCTCACTGCTTCCTTCACACTCCAAACTTCACACTTCACACTCACTTCGCACTTCACATTCCACATTTCACACTTCACACTTCACAGTCCACACTTCACACTTCTTACTGCTCACTGCTTCCTTCACACTCCAAACTTCACACTTCACACTCCACACTCCACACTTCACACTGCACTCTTTGCACTCCAAACTTCACACTCCACACTTCACAGTCCACACTTCACTTTCTAGTCATTTATTCTTGGGACACTAATGCCGTCACTTCTACTTCCCACTGTCATTACCTAAAAAGGGGCCAGTCCAAACAGTTACAATACTCATTGTCACTACAGCCACAACGGTCATTGTCAAAGTAGTCTTTGTCATAGTATCTATGGTCACAGTAGTCATGATCAGAATAGTCACAGTCACAGTCACATCAGGTATGGTCACACTAATCAAAGTCACGGTGGTCATTTTATGGAGGTTATCAACATACAACCGCACGAACGATGGAATTACTTCACACTCCACACTTCACACTTGTCACTTCTCACTGCTTCCTTCACACTCCAAACTTAAACTTCACACTCCACACTTCACACTTCTCACTTCCCACTGCTTCCTTCACACTGCACACTTCACACTGCACTCTTCACGCCCCACACTTCACTGCTCTAAACCTACGTGCAACGGCGTCGGAAAATTGTAGCTCCAAAACCGGATCTCGACGCCAGAGCGAAAAAAAGACGATTTTGAAGCACTTTTTAAAAGGATTTTTAAAAGGAAAATTACTAGCGCCAAAATGGAGGAAATCTGCTGACAAATCACTGTCGCAGCCTTCATGCAGCCACTCCAATACGATTTACGAAGTCCAGCTGCAAAAGACAATAGTATTACGCATGCAGCCTCAGCATGAAGCAACCTTGACGCAGCTATTACAATGCGATCTGCGGAGGCTGAGTTGCAAAACACAATAGAACTACGCGCAACTGGGTCGGAAATTGCAGGTCCAAAACCGGATCTCGACGCCAGAGCGAAAAAAAAGACGATTTTAAAGCACTTTTTAAAAGGATTTTCAGAAGGAAAATCACTAGCGCCAAAATGGAGAAAATCTGCTGACAAATCACTGTCGCAGCCTTCATGCAGCCACTCCAATACGATTTACGAAGTCCAGCTGCAAAAAACAATAGTATTACGCATGCAGCCGCGGCACCAAGCAACCTTGACGCAGCCATTACAATGCGATCTGCAAAGACTGAGTTGCAAAACACAATAGAACTACGCGCAACTGGGTCGGAAATTGCAGCTCCAAAACCGGATCTCGACGCCAAAGCGAAAAAAAGACGATTTTGAAGCACTTTTTAAAAGGATTTTTAAAAGGAAAATTACTAGCGCCAAAATGGAGAAAATCTGCTGACAAATCACTGTCGCAGCCTTCATGCAGCCACTCCAATACGATTTACGAAGTCCAGCTGCAAAAGACAATAGTATTACGCATGCAGCCGTGGCAAGAAGCAACCTTGACGCAGCCATTTACACTGCGGGAACGATCCTACAGTTGCAAAGCACAATGGAATTCCATCGGCAACTCATCCACCAGCACCACTTGCAATCCCATTTACATTGCGGGAACGATCCTAGAGTTGCAAATCACAATGAAATTCCATCGGCAACTCATCCACCAGCACCACTTGCAATCCCATTTACATTGCGGGAACGATCCTACAGTTGCAAAGCACAATGGAATTCCATCGGCAACTCATCCACCAGCACCACTTGCAATCCCATTTACAGTGAGGGAACGATCCTAGAGTTGCAAATCACAATGGAATTCCATCAGGCAACTCATCCACCAGCACCACTTGCAACCCCATTTACAATGCGGGAACGATCCTACAGTTGCAAATCACAATGGAATTCTGTCGACCACACATGCACGAAAAACAGTTGAAACCCCATTTACAATGCGGAACCGATCCGAGACCGATATCCGACCATGATCCGACCACACACGAGACCGTCTCGCAACCGTCGCACCGCAGAGGTAGATCATCGAGGTTCGGGGACGCACTTTGTATGGAAAAACATAGGGTTTCGTGCATCTGCTATCTCTCAAAAACGCATTTCGTGCGAGACTTCCTTCAAAACTCCATCGGCAACTCATCCACCAGCACCACTTGCAATCCCATTTACAGTGAGGGAACGATCCTAGAGTTGCAAATCACAATGCAATTCCATCAGCAACTCATCCACCAGCACCACTTGCAAATCACCCATTCATCCACCAGCACCACTTGCGGGAACGATCCGACAGTTGCAAATCACAATGGAATTCTGTCGACCACACATGCACGAAAAACAGTTGACACCCCATTTACAATGCGGAACCGATCCGACCATGATCCGCCCATGATCCGAACATGATCCGAGCATGATCCGACCACACACGAGACCGTCTCGCACCCGTCGCACCGCAGAGGTAGATCATCGACGTTCGGGGACGCACTTTGTATGGAAAAACATAGGTTTCGTGCATCTGCTATCTCTCAAAAACGCATTTCGTGCGAGACTTCCTCCAAAACTCCATCGGCAACTCATCCACCAGCACCACTTGCAATCCCATTTACATTGCGGGAACGATCCTACAGTTGCAAATCACAATGCCCTGACTAACTCTTTCCCTCACTAACTCTTTCTTTGACTAACTCTTTCCCTCACCAACTCTTTCCCTCACTAACTCTTTCTTTGACTACCTCTTTCTTTAACTAACTGTTTCTTTGACTAACTGTTTCTTTGACTAACTCTTTCCCTCACTAACTGTTTCTTTGACTAACTCTTTCTTTGACTAACTCTTTCTTTGACTAACTCTTTCTTTGACTAACTCTTTCCCTGACTAACTCTTTCTTTGACTAACTCTTTCTTTGACTAACTCTTTCTTTGACTAACTCTTTCTTTGACTAACTCTTTCTTTGACTAACTCTTTCCCTGACTAACTGTTTCTTTGACTAACTGTTGCTTTGACTGACTCTTTCTTTTACTAACTCTTTCTTTGACTAACTGTTTCTTTGACTAACTGTTTCTTTGACTAACTTTTTTCTTTGACTAACTGTTTCTTTGACTAACTGTTTCTTTGACTAACTCTTTCTTTGACTAACTCTTTCTTTGACTAACTGTTTCTTTGACTAACTGTTTCTTTGACTAACTCTTTCCCTGACTCTTTCTTTGACTAACTGTTTCTTTGACTAACTCTTTCTTTGACTAACTCTTTCTTTGACTAACTGTTTCTTTGACTAACTGTTTCTTTGACTAACTCTTTCTCACTCTTTCTTTGACTAACTCTTTCCTCAAACTCTTTCTTTGACTAACTCTTTCTCCTGACTAACTCTTTCTTTGACTAATGTTTCTCTAACTCTTTCTTTGACTAACTCTTTCTTGACTAACTGTTTCTTTGACTAACTCTTTCTTTGACTAACTGTTTCTTTGACTAACTCTTTCTTTGACTAACTCTTTCTTTGACTAACTGTTTCTTTGACTAACTGTTTCTTTGACTAACTCTTTCCCTGACATTCTAAAAGTCCGTAACACGGAAGTTTCTCCCCCTAAACTTCCTTTGAACAGAACCTTTTTTTTGCTTAATGGACCGGTAGAATGTTTGCGTTTGGCTGTTGGGCCGGCATAAACATGTTTTTGAACGAAAAAGGTGCATGTCAAAATGTTATGAGAACAGTTTCTTTGCAATTTTTTTGTTTTGCTTAATGGACCGGTACAGAACGCTTTGTTTTGTTTAATGGCCGGTACCGGAATGTTTGCGTTTGGTTCATGGCAAGGAACTGCCGGTTCCCAAAGGTTGGAACTCACGGTTGCCAATGTGGGAACCACAGGTTGCCATTGCAAGGAACTGCCGGTTCCCAGAGGTTGGAACTCCTGGTTCCCAACCTGGGAACCAGAGGTTACCATTGCAAGCAACTGCCGGTTACCAGAGGTTGGAACTCATGCTTCCCAACCTGGGAACCATAGGTTACCATTGCAAAGAACTTCCAATTCCTAAAGGTTGGAACTGATGGTTCTCAACGTGCGAACCAAAGGTTACCATGGCAAGGAACTGCCGGTTCCCAGACCTTGAAACTTACGGTTCCCAACCTGGGAACCAGAGGTTACCATTGCAAGGAATTGCCGGTTCCCAGAAGTTAGAATTTATGTTTTCGAAGCTAAGCGGCTATCATTGTAAGGAACTGCGGATTCCCAAAGTTTGAAACTCATGGCTCCAAACCTGAAAAAGCATACGTTACCAGTGGAAGGATCTGTTGATTTGCAACTTTATGGTTTTGCTTAATGGACCGGTAAAGAACGCTTTGTTTTGCTTAATGGACCGGTACCGGAATGTTTGCGTTTGGTTCATGGCAAGGAACTGCCGGTTCCCAAAGGTTGGAACTCACTGTTGCCAACATGGGAACCACAGGTTACCATTGCAAGGAACTGCCGGTTCCCAGAGGTTGGAACTCCTGGTTCCCAACCTGGGAACCATGGGTTACCATTGCAAGCAACTGCCGGTGCCCAGAGGTTGGAACTCATGCTTCCCAACCTGGGAACCATAGGTTACCATCGCAAAGAACTTCCAATTCCTAAAGGTTGGAACTGATGGTTCCCAACGTGGGAACCAAAGGCTACCATGGCAAGGAACTGCCGGTTCCCAGACCTTGAAACTTACGGTTCCCAACCTGGGAACCAGAGGTTACCATTGCAAGGAATTGCCGGTTCCCAGAAGTTAGAATTTATGTTTTCGAAGCTAAGCTTCGATCATTATAAGGAATTGCCGGTTGCGAAAGATTGAAACTCATGGTTCCAAACCTGAAAAAGCATACGTTACCAGTGGAAGGATCTGTTGATTTGCAAAAAGTTAGACCTCATGGTTCTTAATGTTGTTTTGTTTTGTTTACTGAGCCGGTAACAGAACCTTTTGTTTTGCTTAATGGACCGGTAGCGGAATGTTTGCGTTCGGCTGCTGGGCCGGCATAAAAATGTTTTTGCACGAAAAAGGTGCATGTTAAAATGATATGAAAACAGTTTCTTTACAACTTTTTGGTTTTGCTTATTGGACCGGTAAAGAACGCTTTGTTTTGCTAAATGGACCGGTACCGGGATGTTAGCGTTTGGTTCATGGCAAGGAACTGCCGGTTCCCAAAGGTTGGAACTCACTGTTGCCAACGTGGGAACCACAGGTTACCATTGCAAGGAACTGCCGGTTCCCAGAGGTTGGAACTCCTGGTTCCCAACCCGGGAACCATGGGTTACCATTGCAAGCAACTGCCGGTTACCAGAGGTTGGAACTCATGCTTTTTAACCTGGGAACCATAGGTTGCCATTGCAAAGAACTTCCAATTCCTAAAGGTTGGAACTGACGGTTCCCAACGTGGGAACCAAAGGTTACCATGGCAAGGAACTGCCGGTTCCCAGACCTTGAAACTTACGGTTCCCAACCTGGGAACCAGAGGTTACTATTGCAAGGAATTGCCGGTTCCCAGAAGTTAGAATTTATGTTTTCGAAGCTAAGCAACTATCATTGCAAGGAGCTGCGGATTCCCAAAGTTTGAAACTCATGGTTCCAAACCTGAAAAAGCATACGTTACCAGTGGAAGGATCTGCCGATTCCAAAAAGATAAAAATCATGGCTCTTAATGTTGTTTTGTTTTGTTTACTGAGCCGGTAACAGAACCTTTTGTTTTGCTTAATGGACCGGTAGCGGAATGTTTGCGTTCGGCTGCTGGGCCGGCATAAAGATGTGTTTGCACGAAAAAGGTGCATGTTAAAATGATATGAAAACAGTTTCTCTGCAACTTTATGGTTTTGCTTAATGGACCGGTAAAAAACGCTTTGTTTTGCTTAATGGGCCGGTACCGGAATGTTTGCGTTTGGTTCATGGCAAGGAACTGCCGGTTCCCAAAGGTTGGAACTCACTGTTGCCAACGTGGGAACCACAGGTTGCCATTGCAAGGAACTGCCGGTTCCCAGAGGTTGGAACTCCTGGTTCCCAATCTGGGAACCAGAGGTGACCATTGCAAGCAACTGCCGGTTCCAAGAGGTTGGAACTCATGCTTCCCAACCACACAGCACCCTGCACAGCACCTTCGCCAGACTTGGCCACCGCAGTCTGGACAGCACCCTGCACAGCACCTTTGCCAGACTTCGCCACCGCAGACTGGACAGCACCCTGCACAGCACCCTGCACAGCACCCTGCACAGCACCCTGCACAGCACCTTTGCCAGACTTCGCCACCGCACTCTGGACAACACCCTGGAAAGCACCCAGCACAGCACCCTGCACAGCACCTTTGCCAGACTTCGCCACCGCAGTCTGAACAACTCCCTGCACAGCACCCTGCACAGCACCTTTGCCAGACTTGGCCACCGCAGTCTGCACAGCACCCTGCACAGCACACCCTGCACAGCACCCTTGCCAGACTTCGCCACTGCACCTGCACAGCACCCTGCACAGCACCTTTTGCCAGACTTCGCCACCGCAGTCTGGACAGCACCCTGCACAGCACCCTGCACAGCACCCTGCACAGCATCCTGCACAGCACTCCGCACAGCACACTGCACAGCACCTTTGCCACCGCCACTGCAGTCTGACAGCACCCTGCACAGCACCCTGCACAGCACCTTTGCCAGACTTCGCCACCGCGCTCGTACAGCACCCTGCACAGCACCCTGCACAGCACCCTGCAGAGCACCGCAGTGGACAGCACCCTGCACAGCACCTTTGCCAGACTTCGCCACCGCACTCTGGCACAACAGCACCTTTGCTGACTTCGCCACCGCGCTCTGGACAACCCCTGCAGAGCACCCTGCACAGCACCCTGCACAGCACCTTTGCCAGACTTCGCCACCGCAGTCTGGACAACACCCTGCACAGCACCCTGCACAGCACCTGTGCCAGACTTCGCCACCGCAGTCTGGACAGCATCCTGCACAGCACCCTGCACAGCACCCTGCACAGCACCCTGCACAGCACCTTTGCCAGACTTCGCCACCACCGCAGTCTGGAGAGCACCCTGCACAGCACCCTGCACAGCACCTGCACAGCACCTTTGCCAGACTTCGCCACCGCAGTGCAGAGCACCCTGCACAGCACCCTGCACAGCACCCTGCACAGCACCTTTGCCAGACTTCGCCACCGCAGTCTGGACAGCACCCTGCACAGCACCTGGGCTCAAAAGTTCGCCACCGAAGACCCCACCTTTGAGAAGTAAGAACCCCTATAGCTTGCCAGCTATCTGGGGAATAATTAGATGCCTATAGATGCCTTATTAAACCCTTATTAAAAACAACATGCAAACAATTTTTCAAGGGGGTACCCGTGGGTACCCATGAGTGACCCAGATCCTCAATAATGTAATTGTTTTGATGGCACCCTATTGTGCACAAAAACTTTTGGGCAATTTTTGGATTTAAACAGAATATCAATTCAAAGTAGATTGATGTCAATTGAAATCCTTACTTAAGTTGACTACAGTATCCTAAAAATTGTTGAGTGGGGGCCAGAAAATGGCAAGCAAGTGAGTAGCCCAAAATTTTTGAGGGGGGGCCACACTAACCAGTAGCCAACATTATGCGGGTAGCAACAATAAGATTTCGAAAAAAAAACGCAAGCAGAAAATAGGACGAACAGCAAAAGCCCCACTCAGTAAGTGGTTTCACGATGATCTACAGTACCAGCTGGAGGAGGAGGCCTCTCGGCCAGCTTTCGTAGCCACGTAACTATTCCACGATTCTTTAGCCCCGACAAGTTTTTGTTAAGCCATGAAATCAAACTTACCCACAAAAAAATGCTTATTTTCACGGCTAAGCCAACTGTTTTACGTGGCTAAACCTATCTACGTGGGTTTTAAAAAAATAAAATAAAAACTTTTCAGGGCTAAGGAAAAAAATACGTGGCTAAAAATCGGTCCCTATCCAAAGTATTCCAAAGTCATCACTCAGCTTCCGGCAGGCAAAACGGGCACAGGTGCAGGCTGATTCAAAGGTGCAGCTTCCCTTCACACAACAAAAGGGGTAAAGCTCTCAAGGGCTGTATTTCCTATATTTTCATCATCAATGTTTAAAAACGTCTTGAAACAACAGGGAAGTGATGCTGATGCGACACCTGGTGGTGGGTCTTCGAGATCTTGCTGCATGTGCTGCCTCTGCAGCCTGTCGAAGAAGCAATGGGGCTGTGGATGTCAAGAGAATCACACACTAACAGGGGCGGATGAAATCCCATACCTCCTGAAGTTAAACCACCAAAATCATCTAAAATCATTTGACATTATTTTGTTTGTCTGATAGCGATGCAAAGCAATCTATCGTCAGGCCTACCATGACAGGTGCAACAGTTTTGCCAAGGTGACAGACTCCCACCTGCGCCGCTGCCTCCGCTGCGTTGGCGGCTTCTCGAGCTCGCCTGGGACTTCACCAAACCAAAGCCCAGTTTCAAGGTGCTCTAAAAGGGATTGATTTTGATCGATACAAAACCCTTCTGGCATCCAACTTTTCAATGTGGACTTCTTATCGTTGGTTGGATAAACAAGTTGCACGGTTGTCTGGCCACCCAACTTTGCAGGGGGGGACTATTGGATACTGCCAGTGATACTGCTGTTACGCTGGTAGAACTGGGGCATGTACACTCAAGTACTGACATGGGCGACAGCACCTTTCCTCTGTGCCTGTGCTGGACATCAGGACCCCAGCCTGACTGCTACCACCATCTCATCGGGATCTGTCACGGATGTAGCTTGGTTGGCCATGTTGGCAGCCTGACGACCAGCATGGCAGGGATAGAAGATCATAGGACTCCCAAACCTTCGATGGGTTGAATGCTTGAGAACAACCAAGACTTACAAATCCCGAATCCCCATTTTCCTTTGACCCTCGAACTTCAATCCATACCTTGGAACAACCCCCTGCTAACTCCTAGCCAGGAAAATCTGAGCCACAGAATTCAAGCACCTCCAAGGAAGAGACTCTTGCTCGTTCCGCTGCCTCTGCTATGTCCTCCAAGGGGCTCTGGTGGAGGCTATCAAGAAAGGCAAAGCATTTTGATCAGGTCAAGTGCTGGTTATCCCTCTGAAAAGCTCTGAACGGTTTTTGATTAAGTGGGGGTGGGCACGTCCTCAGCCGTCAGTCCATTCAAGCGAATTGGTGGCCCAGGATCCATTGCTGGCGGCTGAGAAGGGTCACCTGCTGTAGGGGGAAGGGATTGAGATATGTTAAGGGTTAAGATGGTTGCATAAGAGTTTAAGAGTTAAGACATGTTAAGACTTACAGTACGACACTGCTTATATAACTGGTGCCTTCCAAAGCTCCATCAGGCAGCATCATTGCCGACTTCACATAGGACAACTTGGGAAAATATGTCTGGAGGTATGCATTCCTTAGCAGAAGTCATTTCAACCCCCCGGCACACATAAATAAAAGAATCAACACGAACCAAGCCGGCCAAGAAATCCACCGAAAAAACCTGCCAAGATACCCTTCGGCTTGGATTCGGCTGGTGTCCTTAGCTGACACCATGCCTACAGCAAAAACACGACCGCACCACCGAGGCGTTGACAGGACCTTCGCCACCAAACTCGACTATGTCGCCTTAGTGAAAAGAACGAAGTGGAAGGGCCATGACATGTGCGCATTGTGCCACAAATTCTGCTGGCGTTATGCTGCCAATCCAGTATTGCATTTTCATTGTGCTTCTCTTTTCGACCAATCGCCATATGTGGTGTCAATGCGGTCCAGCACATCCAATGAACTCTCTTCAACTGCACCGATTGGCGTCTCCTCACGCAGTGGCCCAAGGGTCTCACCAGGTTGCCCATCGCAATTCCACACCATCCATGATTTGAAGTTTCTTACCGCGGTTCTGCATGACTGGAAGCTGCTCGGAACTAATGCAGAACTGCAGAAGTGGGAAATTCATGGAAATTCCAAGAAATTCCCTTCACCAGAAGATACCGTATGTTCCAAAATGTTCCAAAGCTTCGACCTTTCCAGGAGCTTCTTTCGTCTATCCCTAACTTTCCTTCCAGTGCCCGGGTCCCGGTTCCCATCCAGTCCCAGCTCTTGTCGCCGAGGCAGTGGGACATGTCCCCGACGCAAATGAACAGCGTCGCCCTCCTGGATGCTGGACCTGCAAAGCACGGCATGCGGATTGTACCGGGCTACCAGGTTACATCAGGTTACCAACCACAACTCCAGCTTGCATCTTCCATCATCTTCCCTATGTCCAAATATGTCCTGTGGTTGCTCGAAATCATCCATTAACTTCAAACATCTTCAAACTGGTGTGATGGGATCCTGCTTCTCACAGACACACATCCGGTGGGCCGGCACTATCCGCATGCCCAATGGCGGCCTACTGATGCGAAAGACACTGCTCCCGGCAGAAACGGCACTCCTGCAGGTGAAATGCGAACTTGGCGAAACCTGAAGTCAAATCAGGATCCTCAAGCTCACAAGCTTGCAGCCGTCCGGTGCCTGTAGGAGGATCATCTGGAATCGGAGCCCACATACGCTTCGGAGGCAAGCCAAACTGGACGATGCACCCCTGCACAGCAAAGATATTGCGGTGCATTTTGGGAACTGACTGGATGGGCCGATGGGCCTGAATCGCGCGATAGAATGCCAAATTGGTCAGGTCTCCCCCGGAGACCAGTTCGATGAATCCTTGTTGCAACGCGATGTTAATACGTGATCCAATTCATCCAATTCCAGCTGGGACACTAAAAAGTAGAATGCAAGAAGCAGCACAAATGGATTTGAGTGCTTACTACTGCACCACCTCAGATTAAGGAGAATCTTCATCCCAACATGTCTCAACCAAGCAGCTACTTGCACCATGTGGAGCCCAATCCTTAGCAGGTTCAGCAACTGAATTGTTGAGGCCCTCTGAGGCCGCCTGAGGCCAGCACATGTCTCAGGATGATATCAATGGAACCCACCGTGGTGTCAAGCCTTGCAGTCCCCATGAGTTTTACCCCCCCCCCCATGCACCCGCCTCGGCTACTCCTTGGCTCGCCTCACCAGCTGCATGACGGGCCGCAGTGCCTCATCAAATGGGATCAACTCCCAGCCACTCCAGCTGTCCAAAATGTCGTCCAATGTTTCAAACTGTTTCAATATGTATATGTTCTCCTTTTTGACTCAAGGTCTTCCACACAATCCACCTCTCAGCACTTTCCGATTCTTTAGGGTGGCCTCGATATTCAGCTTGTCTTGTGGGAAGGGGTCCCTGGCAGCGGAGTGCAAAACTCGTAGCTGGAATATTCTGGGATGTTCAATTCAAAAGGCATGGCTGATTGCCTCGAATCCTCCTCACTTTTGTCCACCCGGACCTCTTTCGAAACCTCCTGACAAATCGCATACAAACACAGGCGCAACGGTGCAACCAACAACGGAATCAAACTACTCCAGTCCTCGGGCGCAACCGCCTGTCTCCGTCAGGTAGTATCTTGAAAACTCGTGCCGCTTCATAAATAATGCAGGTGGGGCTTGCAAATCTCTCAAGATAGCATATCCTCTGATGCATTCGTGCGAACCTCCAAGACCTTCAATTCCCAGTCATCAGATCCCTCTGGCTGAAGCAAAGCCTGAGCGGATTGCCATTCAGCACTGCGGTGCTAGGAGGTGCCAGTGGGCCAGACTATGCGAGACTGCAATCAAACTTGAGCTTCGGTCTAGCACGCTTCCAACTCCACATCCATCTGGAACTCGAATCTGCACTTTGTCCGAACCGTTTTTCACCGGCCTGGAGCAAGAGACTTAAGGAGGGACTGGATTCCGGTCAACAGCAACACTGACATAGTGACGATGTAAATGCAGATAGTGGCAGATGGAGATACTGAGCGGTGCGAACTGGCTTCAAGAAAAATTAAGGATCAACCGCGAAATTGCGATTGCCAAAGCAAGTTCGGTAAAGGTAGTAACAAGGAATAGAGGTTTAAGGGAAAAGTGAAAAACCAACGGACCAACGGTATTGATAGTTCCAGCAGCCGCTGCAGTAACAACCCGCAGGCAATGGTAGGCACAGTTCCTTCCTTTGTTCCTTCCTACTTCCTCGCTTGCCTGAATGCTTGCTTCATTCCTCCTCCCTCTCTTGTTCTTTCTGCCTTACTTTCTATTTTCCCCTCGTATCTTCTCCTTGTGTAGCTGTAATTCATGCTCTTTGATCCCTGGATGGCTTTTTCATCCCTTGATCCCTGCCCCCAGAAATACAATATCCATATGGCACGCGGATTGGAGGCGTGGATCCCCAAGAAGTGTGGATTTAGACAGTCATGCTTGGATGTGCATACCGGTTCCTAAGTAAGAAATATAGCCCAGCTATATAGGATACAGTATACAAGGATATACTCCAGGTATACATAGTTATATATGGGCCAACAAGCACCTCCCAAGTGGAATGCATCCTGAAGTATTCATTTGCACTTCGACTTGGACTTGAAGTCTTTGATCTGTCTGCGGTAGCAATTTGTATAGAGTGTGTGTGTGTGGCCATATGCAATACAATTTGCTGAGCACCAGACACGCTCAACACCATCCCTGGTGTTGCCTTGTTGCTGCAGGACTATCATGGAATCTTAGAATGCAGCCAGTCCACATGCTCTGCGAGCAAACTTAGGCGGTGACACCATTTGGCACTGTGACCTTTACCTCGCATAGGCTCGCAGTCACAATCTTTGATACAACTTTTCGCTCCGCTGACTCGATGCATCAGCCTGATAGTTTCGAGTCGTTGCCATTAATGCTCAGCCTCAGCAAGGTGATGATGCTAGTCTTGGAACCGTACATACCGCTTCTGATGGTTTTTCCGGGAAGCTATGTTACACATTGTTACGTCAGGTCCGCTGGAACATGAAGCAGCTTCTGAAAAGACGGGTGAAAAGACGGGCATTTGAGGCCTTGGTCAACTCAACTTCCTGGAGAACGTGCTACGCCGACCTAACACATGTCCTCGACCTCTCTTGGGCTCCCACCCGCAGCTTTGGCGGGACGCAGGGCTGGACCCAGGAATCTTGAGCAACTGTTGCAACAACGTTAGACTGTCCAGGACTGTCCATGTGTTTTTTTCATTCGCAAAGTTGGAGCCTGTGTGTTACCTGTGCATTGCTTCTTGATGTTCATCCACGCTGTGCTTTTGCATGGATCTCAAACAAGCAGCACTCTCCCTAATTTGAGCATCACATGGGCAACCGTCCATTGTCACAAATTCAGCTCCACACAAAGCTCCTCCATCAGCCTTCATCAGCTGAGTCCAGTGCTTACTTTGGTTCCCATTTATGGTCAACCCACATGGTTGAGGCATCTCGCCCTTTTCGCGGTAGCACTTTTCATCTTCATTACGCAACTATTCTTGGAGGGCACGAAGACAAACTCCAAATTGAAGCGCTGGTTTCTGCTTCTTCACATGTCTGTACAGAAACGCCGTCGCAACAGGGTAAAGGGCTACTAAACATTCCCATTAATTAATTCCGGATGTGGACTGGACAGTGCCAAATCCAAATCATTCCAAAGAGCACGAGCTCATGATGTAGCCACCCATGCCAAGCTGTACAAAATGGGCGGCATACTCCTTGAATGTCCAACTCTGTAAGTAAACTTCGTCACAGAGTGGTCACCCCCTTCTCCCCGACAAGTTGCGATTCAGCTGATCTGCGGTGGCGCGGGCTGTCTTCAGTCGTAGTTTCAAGGGCTGCAGCTGGGATGCAGTGTGCCTGAAGCACAAATGTGGCCCCAGGTATGCCGCTAGCTGGTTTATATCCTCAACTAGTTCAATCTACCATAAAGCCAACACTTGACCTACTGAACTAAACCAACTTGGATTTGATACGTCAACTATGGCTCCGTAGAAATCACTATAATTAAATCAGAGTTGATTGGTAATCCATAGTGGAGTAAACCCTACAAGGTGGTGCCCCCAAGTTATGTCTGTTGTATAAATCCATCTAACTAGAGATATTACATGATACATCTACTACGAACCAGAGTTGATGAGTGAAATCACTATAAATGACTATAAATCACATCTGTGACAAACACGGAAGCTGGCAGCTGGCGCCTCACCAATTGCTGACGAAGCTTGAGGTCCCTGCCATTTGCGGGAGTGCCCTTAGAATCAGGAAAACAGCTCATGGGCCCCATGGGCCGTTTGCAATGAGCCCCAGATTCTGCATTTTTGAAAGGATTAGCGGTGCGATTTATCAAAACAAAACAATCGTTGAAAAAAGCGAACAAAAATGTGCTCCATACGTGCCCTACATGCAGCTATAAGAGCAGCATCATGTTGACGAAAAGATGCTACATGCTGCTGTACAAGGCATTCATATTTATATTTACGAATAGTGCTCAAAGGTCACGTTGGTCACCTTATAGAAGCAGATTCCCTTTGATTTAAGTCGCTAAACATGCTAAACCATCAATGAGGTGAGCTTGCTGGAGGTGGCCTTTCTCTCACCTTTGCCAAAGCTATCAAGCCACGTCCAGCTGTACCAAGCACGCAGAAATTGCAGCCTCAGCAGCATCTGCATTTCCACCTTAGTTTCAGCCAACCGCTGAAGTATGGCTATGGCCGCTGCATTGGCTGGAAGCCTGGCAATTATACTGGCATCCGGGGCACGGCTTTGTTGCACTGCTTCTTTGCAGTCCTCAAGAGGATTTGAAAGGAGGCATAGCGAAACATGAAGTGTCAAGGGTATCACCAGGCACCCATATCACAAGTTTTATCACAGGCACCCTCGCCTCAACAGCCTTCTGCAACGCAGGATCTTGTCCTTGAGTCCTTGTGCAGCAAGGCATCAAGATCTCGTCGTCAAACGATGGCTCAAAACCATTTACAAACAGCTGAAGACTGTTTGGAATTTCATGATGTCACACCCACTGTTCAATAAATCATGGCACCATCCGCCACCCAAAAGATACAGGGTCTACAAGCCAAGCAGCTGCCATTCCTTGCGTGACTCGAGTAGCTTTCGAGATAGCCCATCGAACTGATTGACATGTGTGAAGAGGCTTGTTAGATGTTCTGCCAGCCTCGGTGGAAGTGATGTGCTTGTGGCCTAGCAGCCTAGCATTGTGCGCATCCTTGGGCTCTCTTCCCCCGTTGTAAATCTGAGCGTCTGAGTGTGGGCAATCATGATCTGACGATGGGTCTCTGAAAGGCATTCTGGCAGCTGATCCTGCACTCGTAACTTACACGAAGGAACATCGCAATACGCTCCGACTGTTCTGTCCTTGTGCCACCGAAGTACAGCCTAACGGCATAACACATCAATTTAGACAATGACAAGCCGACTCAGCAAAAAAGAAATCCGAAGCTCGACCAAAGATGACTAAATGGCGAACGCTAATCTAGACCATCCCAAGCCACTCAAATCAAATGCTTGTTGCTTGTCTATGAAGTAGTGTAACATAGTGCAGCTATGGCACCACACTTCGCTGACACCTCTCGCAGCAGGTGAGCTTCAGGTCCCCAGTCGAGAAGCCCAGATTGACAGTGAAGTTGCAATGCCTCAAGCCACCATGGGTTGTTCCATCCCCGGATTCCATGGATAGCGTTTGCCCATCCTTGCTCCATTGCATGACTTTGCGAATCTACTTACAGTACATTGAGTTGTTGGGCCTTTCCCTTGTGCTTGCCAGCACGCAAGGTGATGTAGCTACAGGCTGTCATCGCACTTGTAGCTTTTAAATGCTAACAAAAGATCCCACAGGAGAGATGTCCAATCCATGTGTATCTGGTGCAAGTTTTTCCCTTGATTATTCTTAGGGAGATTAGCGCCAGCGCTATCTGGAGTAGTTGTGGCTATCAGGCTCTCTGCTTCACACGTCAGTAGTTGTCCATATCTATATTACGTATATACGCCTATCGCGGCTTTTGTCTGTAATCCGAACAAAGCAGCAGGAACAACCCAACAAACCCCACACGAAGACACACAAAGACCTATCTAAGACCCACCTGATAAGAACCAGCAGGTTGGAACTTATGTTGTAAGAAAGATAAAGATGAAAAAAATGGAAAAAAAAATCAATCTTCAAGTAGTCGATTCAATTCGACCAAAAAAAATCCGTCACCAAGGTGCTGCTCGCAATGCCAGCGCAAACAAATCATGCAGCGATCAGCTGGACGGTATTCGTCCGCCTCAACTCGCATCCCGCTGACATATGTGACATATTGTGACATATTTTCAATATTTATCAATATATATATATATAGATATAGATATCCAAAAAAAAAAATCCAATAGATATTTATCAATGATACAGTATAGGACATCGCAACGACCAAAATGACCAAGTCAAGCTCTGAGATTGCAAAGCTCGCCACATTGTAGCCGCTTTTGCTGCTCACTCTGGCATTGCAATGTGCACAGGTCTGACCAACTTCTGTGGCTTCCCTGAGTTGTCCATGGGCCTGGGCCACGTGTGGGGAAGCTTGGGAGCTTCCAAAGTCCATTTTGTACCGCACGGTGCCAAAATTGCCAAAGGATATCAAATTACCTCAGTCTCAGCTTCTTTCGGACGGTGATGTATGGTGTGCCTCGAAGTAGGGTAGCTGTTGCAAATCTCCAGAGTCGATGATGGACAACAGCCAGTCCTGAATTCGAAAGCTGGAGAAAGAGCCACGTCAATGGGGAGGATGTAGCAAAGGCCGCCCCCAAATAACATCAAATAACATTGAAATAACAATAATAAATTGAATCCTTTAGAAACTTTGGACTTTGCACCTCCTGGCGCTCTGTAACCTTGCACCCACCGGACAATCTTGCCAAGAGTCCAGTCTGCTGGGCATGTCCTTCTTTCGCCTCCTGGTTGCTGGTTGGATAAAAGCTTTTGACAATGATTTGTTTCTGTGAAACATCATGTAGACTCAGTGCAGACAGTTCAAAAAGAAGCCCACAACTCAGTTCCACGCTCGGCATGCTTCTGCCGGAGGCTCAAGAAACTTTGTGTGTGGTCCTCATCAAACCAGGCACCGTATGGCACCGTTCTTTTGATTGCACACTGCAATGAAGTCCATGAAGGCTGAAAGGTTACGTCGATTACGTTTGCCTGTCTGACGCTGGGGTCTCCAGGACGGCAAGCAGTTCCAGCTCGTGTCGGGGCCATCGGGGCAGACCTGGGAGAGGGCCATCTTTTTTTTTCTGAAGTCAACAGATCGAATCTTATTGAAGTCTTATTGGATCAAAGCCACCCATCTATGGACCACCTGGTCCAAATCCTCTCGAGCCTCACCTTATTAATCCGTCCATCATAATCCTGGAATCCGGCTGAGAAACCCCAAAGAGAAGAATCTGTAAGCCTCACTGGACAAAATGAGAAAAACATGCTCACTGGTGTCACTGGTGCAAATGCCAAGAGACGACTTTGATGGAGCTGGTAGTGCTGGCTGCATCATGGAATTCATTCTTCGAAGACAGCTCCACCACTGAAGGGTGTTCAAGGATACCAGCATCTATGGGGCTGCAAAGGCGCGCAGGCCAGGATTGCTGAACGGTGGAGCAATGCTGCTGTCAAGCTGTCAAGCTGGATCCATTTCCACAAGAGTACAGCTCATCATATTCTAAAATGCTAGTTAGCCTTGATTGCACGGTGATGCTTGCGCAAGAGAAATGCATGCCTTCCATATTAGAATGTATATATGTGCATGTATGTATATGTACATGTGTGTGTGCGTGTGTTGTTAGCATGTGCCACTTAAAATTGTTCTACTGTGCGCAACCAAATTACATTTCTGCCATTTGCGCATGGGAAGATGGAATTCAGCCTTTGATGAGCTAAAAGCCATGCAACGACCGGAAGTGCAAGTGAAGCGTGGATGGTGCACCCAAACTGGAAATCGAATACTGTTTGGGCTGTTGAGGTGTCAGCAGCACAGTTTGATGGGACTAAAGCCTTTTTGGATTTGACAGACACCTGGAACTTTGCCAGGATCAAAACAAGAACATTTCTTTAACATTGCTTCAAATGCCCCAGGCTCTGGAAGGTAGCCATCTTGGCCACTGGGGTATCCGAGTTGGCCACGCAGCCATCACAAAAAATCCGAATGACATTGCCTCTTCGGTGGCAACCACACGGCCATGAGCAGCAAGCTTGGTGGAACTGAGCTGATAAGAGCCAAGTCTTCTCCAGCACTGTGGAACTTAGAGCGGGCAGAACAGGGACAAGAACAAGTCTCACATTACATTCAACAAATATAACACGCCTAGGCATGACTCAATGTTGACTCCTGAACACGTTGCGCATGTTGGGGTTGTGAATGTGTAAGCCTCTGACTCCTGCAAACGGAAACTCTGTGATGTCGGTGGGTGGAGTCGCAGATTGCCACACATCATATGAATCGCTGTGCGGAAGCGGAAAACCATTAGGGCCTCGCTGACACAACAAGAAATAGAAAGACGGGCAGAGAAACAGACAGGCAGGAACAGATAGTCTGAAGGGATACCAACAAAAACCAAGGCCAAAGCTCAATTGCAACTCTATATATATAATTATATATATTATATATATACACACAATAGATATCTTGGCAGAGACGCGCAGTCCAAAGCAAATGCAGATCGATGTATCAACAATAGTTCTAGCATTGCAAACCCTTCCACGCCATTCTTCGCTGATAAGCTCGCGGCCAGGTGCCAGAGCCCCACCATAGCTGCCGGCATAGAGTGGCAGTGTGGTTCCCACTGCAGAGGCTGGACCCCTGGAGACACTTAGCTGCGGGAACCCATGGAAAACCCCTGCTTAAAGCCTCTCAAATTTGAATGGCCCATGTCCACATCCTTTGACAGTTACACTTTATACACTTTTACCTGGGGTTTTCAACTTCATCATTGACATGTTGAATTGTCATGTGGTTCTTGGTATCTGCAACTCAGCATAACTTAGCCAAGGCCAAGTGAAAAAATCGCAGCTGAAAGGCCCCAGTGGTGGCAGCTCTGGCAATGCAGCACCAAGCCCAGCTCCGAAACTCGGCAACCTCGTTGCAGATGGTGCAGCCGCTGGTGCAGCCGCTGGTGCAGCCAGTGCAGCCCAAGGAACGGAGCCAATGGACCAACTTTGGCTGGATCTGGTGGGGGCAAAACAGTTCGCCCAACTTTGCCAGACTCCCCAACCTGACAAGATTCAGCACTGTTCAGCTGACTTGGATGACGTTGGATTCATGTCCAGCTGTCTAGCTTGTGCCATACAAATGCCTGCAGAAGGGTGGCAGCACTTTTTCGATCTGGTCGAGTTAGCGATAAAGCCTCAGCTCCAGTTCGTTGCCTCAAGTGAAAAGAAATTCTGGATGTAGACAATGGTTTCATATGGTTTCATATGACATACATGCAATTCAGCAACATGGTGCATTTTTTGCAAAACTTGGCGCTCTGTGCTCGCCAAGGCAGCTGATGCGGGCCACTGACCGACTCGATGCTCTTCTGCCTCCATGCGCTCGGTTGCCTCGGTCAAGCCATGGCTTTAATCGACCTTTAATCGACTTTCAAATATCCAAATATGTTGAAAAGAACAAAGACTTGAAACCAACAAATAGTTTTGAATCCTGCTTGATCTCAGCCTCGCTGGACCGCCTGGTGTTGAGAATTTCGTAGCAAGTGACTGCACGCGCCAATGCCTTCCACATCGCGGTCTCAGCTGACATAGTTGGTGGACCTCGTTGATATCAGGCAAGTGTGGAGACAGGTCTCACTGGCATCCCCAAAATTGCAGGTGTGACTTACAAAGAAACACTAGAATAGAATATACTTCGTCCATGTCGTTACTCCTGATTTGGCAAGTTGGTGCCACCAAGATTCCGAAGGCAGGCGGTGCATGCACATCCGTTGTTTTTGGTGCATCCAGCACACTGCCCACTGCATAAACAGCCTGACCCAGCCAACCCCAAGTGAACACAGCCATGAAGTCACCATGGTGTACGGTAAGGTTGTGACTGGGAAAGCTGGACCAGATCCGCCAACCACTCGATTCCTGGGCTGTGGCAATTTCTGGCAGTGTCATTTTTGTTTGTAGCTTTCAGACTGCCGAGACGCATGGTGGAAAAGTTGGAGAGATGCGGAAGTAGGCCCAGCGAACCGCAAAGATACCCATCATTCGCACTAGGATAATAAAGGATGCAAGTACGAATATGACTGGGGCAGTGTCTCAAGAGTGAAGGGCATTCTCTGAGCAGCTCTATATAGTGCCCCGTCTCTTTTGCTGAAATGCGTATCTTGGGCTTGTCAATGCACCGTCTTGTCTGACAAATTTATATAGATGGGCAAAACTGTTTGCTTTCCTGGATCTGTGATGTATGGTCACTGTTGTGGTGCCTAAACTGAAGGCCAGCGTCAGCCAAAACCCAAGGTCACAGACAGCGCTTTTCGCAAAAATCGAAGGCACGAATGGATGAAGTTTTCCAGGTTCGCTTCAAGTTTCATGCAGGCATCGGGGCATCACAACTCTTTTCCGCATCTTTGTGGAAGTACGGCATTCGATTTGGAACTCATGCAGTTGAAACTCCAGGCAGCTCAAAAGCCCGTGCTCACTGAAACTGACTCCAAAGCCTGCAAATTAGGTCAGTCGTCAATGGTGGACATGCGTGATAAGTTACAAGATGCTACACGCCCAGTTCTCCCCCGTAATTACCAAAACCTGCTGAGGCTTCGGCAACTGGTGCTTCGTGATCTGCTGATGTGCCACCCTGCCCAGTCTGAAAGAGCAAGTTTGCATACAAACTTCAAATGCCCAAACAATGCGCACTTGATGGATGCTGACAGTTTGCTCAAGTGGAGGCGCCTTGCATCTTTCAACAAAAGTTGCGACCTGCATGGGCTCTCCTTCTCTCCAACTGGAGACTAATCAAGAACTCAAGATCATCCGCGCAAATGGATCAAATGGTCTCTGTGGCACTTGCCTGTTGCAACATCTGACTCCGAATGGCCAAACGTCGCGTTTGTAGGTGCACCTTGGGGCCAGGTGAACTCAGACTGGAATCCTTACACCCAGCGTTGCGGTCTTGAAAGTTTCCGATTTATTTGTCGCTTGAAGGTTTGCTCTGCTTTTCCGATGTAACGACAAGCACTAGCCAGCCGTGCAATGCAGGTGACAGTAGGTGCTTGACCGCAGCTTCGTTGCAGGCTTTCAAATCAGTGAAGTTCAGCGTCAGCCTGATATACAAGAAGTCAAACCAAAAATAAAATAGAGAAACACTGTAAAAACTCCCGCAGCAAGCCTGCATCCATTGACCGAAATTTCTTGGGGAGTCTGGTTTGATTCCACTTGCCATATATAAGGTGCAAACGTGAAGTAGGTGCTGATTGGTGGGTTGTACCTGCACCCGCCAACCACCAACCATGAAACGCAGTCCTCCAAATCCAGCAGGTCAGCAGCTACTAGCAACAAGGCCAACCGATTGTTCAACCGATGCTGTCAGGTCACGCCACGGCTTCTCCAGGCTTCATGCCAGGTTTGGGGGCGTTCATTCCGATCCTCATCTCAGATATCTCAGCCCAAATTGTAAACATCGGCCTGAAAAAATCTGTATGATTCCAGGGCCACTGAAAGCCTTTAGGATCTTTAGGGTGATGATGATGCGCAGGGATTCTGATTCCCACAGGTTCTTCCAGGAATGCGCATGAGCTCCAAGACTTTGACTGGAGCGTTCGCGGGTCACTTCTGTCGATCAGCGATTGAACCTGGCATTTGGCATTCAGCAAACCGGCTCCCTTAAATCTTGAGCCAGGTGAACGATTTGAATTGACGATCTTCCACTCATCACCTGCCAAATCGGCCACACAGTGGTCACAACCTTAGCAGCAGTGGGTGTACACCTGAAAAGGCACGAAGTATCACGACATTGCATGTGCGCAAGTCATATGCCTTTACTTACTTGCAGCCTGTTGCATCTTCTCAGGGCGCAGCTGCCTCATTGGCATTTTCCGTGTCAGCCTTCATGGAGTCTTCAGAGTCACTCTATGGCATTCCCATGATGCAAGTGTTGCCATGTGTTGGCCATGTGGTGCCATGCGGTGCCTGTGCCACAGTCTGCTCTTCACACATTCACATCATCTGAGTCATCTGAGTCATCTGAGTCATCTGAGTCTCGCGACCAGAACCAGCCAGGCAGGATCCAAGACAAGGTGACGCTGCATGCGCTGGGCCCTTAATGCAGGCTGGGCTAAGATCTTGCTGTACAATTTTCCGTGCCTCTTTGCATCACCGTGCAACTATATATAATGCTAGGACCCCAACGAACTCGCCTTTGCTGATGTGAAACTGCAGCCAATACCTGTCAGAAGACTTTGAGTGGGAAGCTCTGTGACATTCCAAAGTGACTTCAGGGCCCTGCAAAGTCACACAAGGTGAGCAGAAATAGAAAACACTTCTTTTGTGCAGCGCTTTGGCAATAAAGTTCATCGTCCATGTCACTGCTTCGTGACTTGGTACGGCGAGACATCAGCATCACTTAGATGGCTGAAGGTTTGAAGATGTTCGAAGATTTTCGAAGGACTCTGCCAGTTTTCAAGCCTTGACCTCTCATTTTTGACCCCGTGAAGTCGAAAGCATGAGAAGCAGGCTCTTGGCAGGCGTCAGCTAGCTACAAGTTTTAGGCAGAGTCTTTGGAAGGCTCGGAGGAAACTTCATGTCTTTTCTCCGACTCTCCGACCCTTTCTAATCTTTTATAAAGAAAGCGATAGAGTACCGCAAAGCTTGCCTTGACCCGTGAAGAAGTTTCCTGAGAGTCGTCAACTGCCCACCGGCTACGTTGGGTGACTTCGAATTTGAAGAGCTAAAAATTTTGCTCTCCACAATGCCTAGCTCGTCTACTTGCACTGCATATGGTAGCGAGGTCTGTGACATCTGGCCCTTGAATTGGAATCTGAGTGGAAACATATAAGACATTATAAGTTAATTATAAGACTATATAAGACTATAGCCTCACGTCAACAGGGAGCTGAACTTGGTGAAATCATCGGATGGCAGTGCGGGAAGGCTTGAAATCTTCTTCATGTACGCGTTGGCAGAGTGACCACCCCTTAGTTCTCGAAGGAAAATGCATCAGAAGCATGAAAAGGCAATGGAACACAATAGAACTGAAAAAGGACTCAACGGGTGTCATTCCTCTTTTCTCCCAAGCAGCCTGGCACCTACGGAATCCCCACGATGTTTAAATGTTTGCATAGTCAGGCCAATGCCACGCACATGTCATCAAAATGTCGAGCTGAGCAGCAGCTCGATCTGCCTGTTCTCATGGCTTCGCCTCAGGAAGCAATGCAGCTCTCTTTTTCTTTGGAAGTTGGAATAAGAGAGGGTCTGATGAGTCTGATGTCTGTATGTTATGACTCCATGTTGGTTGTCGATATTTGTTCTTTGCCATGGATGTTTCTTATTGAGGAGGGTTCTTGGTATATTTGCTGACTTTTCGTTGCTGCCGTGTGTTATGTGAGGGTTTGGGCTGGTGATCGATTAGTTCATGTGTGTTTATTGGGATATGCTAAGGTGATCGGTTTATTCTCTCCAAATTCCGATGCCAACTCACCAGCATTCAAGAACTCTTATTGGTGAATGCGTGTGTGTCTCTCCTTTCCTTAGATCTGTTATCGCTCCTGCCTACAAAAGTGATTGAAACCCAACAGATTCACTGTTGGGAATTGCCATGTGGCACTCTGTTTGGTTTTGTCCTTCCAACTCACGAAACTTATGATAAAAATGTCCGTTCATTCCAAATGGTAAGCTCAAGCAGTTGACGACGGTCTCTTTCAATCAAAAACAGCTGCCTTGCACAACATGTCTTTCAAAAGACAGCAAGTAATTACAGCCCTTTCAGACTGTGTCAAAAGCCAAGCGGCTGCAAATCCCTTGCGTGCCGAAAGCTGTCCGCCAGGTCGTTCCTCGAAAGCAACTTCAACCCACGTATATACCTTCTAAGAGGATATGTGCACAAAACAATGATCATGTATCATATGTCTATATAATATTTATGTGTATATATATATATATATATACACATTGTGTGTGTGCGTATGTCTGCGGTGCGTAATTACGCGGGCATAAAAAAAAGGTGTGTGTGTGTGTGCATACATACGTATGTTCAGTACCTAGTTGTATAATCAGACTTACATAAATAAACTTTGAATTTCTTTGATATATAGCATGTTTGTGTGTGTGTGCGAGTGCGCGTGCTTGTGCATGTCCGTCGACATGCAAGCGCGGTATGATCATGCAGGCAGAAATACAGATGCAACCCACCTCAAGTGGGGTACCAGGAAGTGCGCACGCACTACTTCTCGAAGATGATGGCCGTGCTGTATTTGAAAAGTGGCAGGGAGTCACCAAGTTCCGAGCCACTCCTCTTGAAATTTACACTTCAACCAAGGTGCCTGAAAGCCCTGTTGACTTCTCTTGCCCTCTCTGTTCGTCGATCAACGAATTCCTGCATCTCTGCATATTCCTTGTGGTCCCTTTCCTAAGAGTTGCTGGTGGAAGGCTCAGAGCAGTTTGGACCGCTCAAATGCTTCAAATATTGCCCAAGCGAATCTGTTGGATTGCACAATCGATATACAACACATCTACATTGTTTCCACGATGCTGTATTTTTCTTGCGCTGAGCTCTTTCACGTGCCTTCACGGCTGCATGCGTTGGAATCAAGCATGATTTGAATCCCACCAGGGTGGTAACAGTGCTCATAAAACTTCACGCTGCGTTTAAAGCCCTCGCCTGTACATGATCGATGGCCCGCTGCTCCTGCAGGGTCTTGTTTTGTCGTCGCAGGACTTCTCGATTCAGACCTGCAATCTGGTCCTCAGCGACAGCATCAATATGGTCTCACCAAGTCTAACCTGTATGGTCTCACCAAGTCTAACCTGACGTGAGCTATTGAATCTCGTGAAGCTCGGTACAGTCAAGAGGCATCCGTGAATAGTGATCAGTATAACAACAGTAAGAGCAATAACTTTCACTATGTTCAATCATTTCATGATACTTAGCTGTATTAAACTGTAAGACGCAAAGCACTGATTCTTTACCAAGTGTCTGCATTTTTGTGACCCTCCAAAGCTTCCAAGCTGTTCATCTGAAACTGCTGTTTCGTCGCAATCCTTGGGAGTGGGAGTCGATCCCGATCCTTGCTATCATCTGGACAGCTGGTTTGAATGTGTTTTGTCCATGCCATATTTGCATCATTGTCTGTCCATCCAAATGGATTTCCTCTGCATTTTCCTCGCCATTCTGGAAAGGAATGCAAGCCGTCGCCTAATAAATTGACCAGTTTCTCTTGAAGCTCTTTGCGGAGCCGTCGCTCCTGGTCCTGTCAACAAACTCATGTGAAACTCGTGTTGGAGTTGGAGTGTTTATGGTAGGTGCTGGACATGCCATGGACACTCATTGCATACCCATTACATGCTCCTTGCATGATCCTTGCATACTCGTTACATACAGTACTCATTTTGTACTCCTGGCATCTTTTTCTACTGTGTCCACAGTCGTTTCCTTCTTCTCTTTCTTTTTGGACTCCAATCTTGCCGCTACTTCGATCACGACATCTTCTCTCTGCCGGTCCTTCCTTGGCATTGCAACAACAGCACACATGACAACCTTCAATGCGCAGACTGGGTGCTCCCTTGCACTCTCTCTCTCTGGACTCTCTCGGCTTGACCAAGTGGCTTGACTTCTTCCTGGAGCTTCTGCTTTCCTCGGTGCAACTTTTAGAACTGTTTACTCCATGGAGAAAGTGTGCAAGTTTACATGTAATATCATGTAACCAAGCTGCGCAAAAGATCTCTGTTTTCAATCATCTGGTCCCTTGCTTGCTCACGAACTTTTGCCAAAAGCTGGATCTTCTCTGTCAACATCTCCTCTTTCTCCACCTGGCATCTGACGTTGGGCATTGAACTTGCTTGAATTAAAAACAAGCTCGGCAGCTCTTTGTCTCCAAGATTCTTGGGCCTTTTTGGCCAGCTGCTTCTCTCGCTTCTCAAACACCATCCTGGAACCGATCCGCTTTGACGTGCTTCGTTTGACATCGGACACGCTTTGATCCATAACCGCGGTTCCTCGAAGTGCCCATGAGACGCCCAGTCCTTTCATGCTGCGCTTGCATGACCTTCAGCCGCTCCTTCAACTCTGCCCACGACATCTCTTCCAAGAGTCCATGACCAGCCACCTGCCGACACGAACAGGAACCATCATTGACCGCAGTCATGACTCATGACATCCAGGCTGTGGTTCCATGTGGAGATCATTAATTACTGTAACTAAACTTGCATTTTGATGAATCTGTCTGTGCATGGTTGTTGTCACTGTAGACGTCCACAAAGGTCGGGATCCAACTAACGCTATGTGCAAAAACTGTGCTGCTCACATCCAAGCCTCTGCACGATCAAACACCTTGGCGGACTCTCGTGGGGCCCTCTCCAAGGCTCGAATTTGAAGTATGAGGTCTTTTCTTCCTCAGTTGCACCCGAAGAATTACTGAGTGCCACCGCTTCCACAAGCTCCACTAAGCATTAAACTTTCCATCTCAAGTTCATCCTCTCGCTTCTTCCGGGCCAACTCAACCTCCTTCTCTCTCCGGCGTTGCCTTGATATACGGGCTAGGTACATGCTACGTAGCTGCTACAAACTCAAACATATCCACAGAAATCCACAATTACTTCAACATTCCACGAAGGCTTTTTCTGGTGATCAGGTCCACCATTTTCCGCTATGTGCTGCCATGCTGCTCCGCATTTTCGTGCTTGACAATCAGCACCTCCTGCTCTGCAATTCGTGCCTGCCAACAGCAAATGAATTAAAGACGGATCATCAACCAGGCCCAGACTGGGCAGGCAGGGCACCTAATCACCTGATATCACCTGGGCTCAAACAACCTGCAAACCTTTTGCTAATGTTGCTTTGCAGCTTTCCCTTGACCCATCTAAAACTCGCTTTCCATGACATATGAGACTAAAAATGTTGATTGCCTTCTCTCGCTCCTCGCAAGTTTGATCTACCACCTTTTGCTTCTCTTGCAAGTCGGCTTCTTGCCTGCTGGTGGCCCCCGCAAGCAACTTGCCAGCCCAAAACGGCTTCAAACATCTTGATTCATCATGTTGGGCAAGTTGTTGTATCGGTCGTTTGGCTTTTTTGCTGCTAAGTACGGCCAAGCTGCTCTCTCTCCTTTCGATCCTTGGCTCATGCACAAACCCCGACAGAGTTTGACAGCATCCTGTTGACTCTTGGTGCCGCTCGCATGGGATGCGAACAAGCTGCAATTTGAACTTGAGTTCCTTTTTCCTGGTGCCGGGGCACGGAGCTTCCCAGCAGGATCCCTCTACACTCCGCTAGCTACCATCAACTAAATCAACCGAACAAAGTCTACGACAAAACTAGGTGAAACAACACGCCCAATGTCATCTTGATTGGGCGCCGCTTTCTTGAACACTCTCTCTCTCTCTCTTTTTCTGTGGTGTTTACTCGCAGCACACCAAATCATGCTACAGTCCAAGTGTCTGATGCTCCGCTTGAATCGATTTCAGCCTTGCGGCTGCGTCTTGCGCTTCAATGGCACTGTCCCGCGCCAGCTGGGTTTGAATAAGCCGTTCCTTGATCCTGGCCTGCTCATCCAAATCATCTTTCCTGGGAGAAGCAGGGCAAGGCAAAGCAAGGCCTAAGAGCCAGCAACGCAAAACATACACAAATGTCTGGCGCTCAAACTCTCTTCATAGACTGCGTTGCCCTTGGGATCTCTATTGGCAAACTCCCCCCAAGGAGAAACTATATAGTCAACTAATTCATTTGTCTCTTAATGGTTGATGCAGGTGGGGCTCGTTCGCATCTTGTCTTGCCACTCATAGAAGCCAGAAGCATCATGCAGTTCGGCCTCATATTGCTTCAGCAGCTCAGAATCCTTGGCCATCTTTTGCCGAAGGCGGGCATCCTCCCTGAGCACCGAGGAAACTGTTTGCCTGACGATAGCATCATCACGTGGCATAATTCTCTTGTTGGGCTTGGGCTGAAAGGTGCATTCCGCCATGAGTTTCTTTTCCGCTTCCTGCTTGAGTTCCTCCCTGATACCAGCATGATCTCGACGTTTGGCAGTCTCGAAAATGAATTCATCAGTAGAGGAATACTTCGCAGCAATCTTGGCCTTCTCTTCCTCTGTTTGCCGTGCCCTTGCCTCTTCGATCTTAGCCAGGTTGGTCCTGTTGATGTAGCTGGGCACAGGGTTTGCAACAAGGTCCTTCTCAATGCTGTGCTCCGGGTCCGGGATCAGCCTCACAAGGCTTCCAAACGAAACTATGAAACAACCCGGGTAACCTTCAAGCAGCAGAATCCTGTGCCACTTGCAGAAATCGCTGTAGTACGAATAAAATCTCTAAACCTGCCCTCTGTGTGTTGTGGTCCCCTTTTCCCTTTTCTGTGGCCTGGGCTTCACCGCTGTTAAATTGAAGGGCTGAAACTCCGTCAGAGGTTTCTGAGACTTCACAGTCCCAGGGGGGCCAGTGGCACCACAAGACTTCAACATGCCAGTGGCTTTGATTTCCATATCATTCATCAGAGGTCGCAAGAGAGGCTCTTTCATGTGCAACTTTTGGATGACATCCTGCAACGGGGAAACACATTTCGGAGATTCGTTTCGCAAAGCCTGCACACTAAATAAATTATAGCACAGCTATATAGAAATTATAATTACACGTAATAATATAATGTATGTATGTATGCATGTGTGTGTGTGTTTTTTAAATACCTAAATGTTGTTCAATTTCATATGTATGTATGTATGTATGTATGTATGTATGTATGTATGTATGCATGTATGCATGTATGTATGTATGTATGTATGTAAACAATGCCTGATGTCTCATGAGAGGATCGGTGCTCCTTTTCAAGATAGTCTGGGTCATAGTGCTTCAACCACTCTTCCATCACCCATCTGTGCAGCTCGTCGCCGTCCATGGCATACTGCCTCAGATAGGAACACTCGGTTCAACCTGTTCCTGGATCAAGTGACTGACCAATCATGATAGTGTCTCGTCTTGAAGTTCAGGTGCAACAAAGCAGAAATGGCTGGAGGTGATCCGTAGCCACAGTTGATGAATTGGCGAAAATTCTCAATGCCCACGTCTTCCAGCCTGACGAGTGGAACCCCACAGACCCTATGGAGCTTGCCTACACCGTGCTTGCACCTGGCTTGCACCTTGCAGTTAGGTTTTAAAAATGTTTAATATCGTTTAAAAGGTTTAAAATGTGCACGTTGACAGCACAGCCAGGCCTAAAGAAGAGCAGATAGGCCAAGATTTTGTACAAAGACTGCTCAGATCTCAAAGCAGTAGCTGGAGCTTTGTAGATAAAGCTGGTGACAAAAAGCTTCAGGAGCTTGCTGTATCGATAGCAGCCATAGAAGACCTGGTGGATAAATTTCAATTCCACCTCTCCAAACAATGGATTCTTCAGCATCGGTGCTTCCTCGAAGAAGGCATCCACAGTGCTTGCTTTTGGGTTGAAGGACTCCAGGAGATTGGTACTCGTTTTCCTGACACCCGAGGTTTGGGAAACTCGAAAAACTCGATACTTACACGGAAAGAGGATGTAAGAGGCAAGTGGGAAATAGTGGGAATACATCCAGACTCGAGAGGCACCCAAATGATGGCAGGATAGTTGAAAGACTGAAAAATAACAATGGTATGCATGGATTTGGACACTGAATGATCGGGTCAACGTGCAAAATGCTAGTTTCAGATATGAAAGGTGCGGGACAGCGTGCCAGGTGCCCTGCCAAAACATTTACCCGAAGGGCAAGTGTCAGGAGCAAAGCAAATCTTGCGGAGTCATCCTGAGCATTCTCTGATGGAAGACCCATGTGCACCACCCAAAGCGCTTTGGGGTGGAGGGGCCTCTGTGCGTCAGCCAAAAAAACTGACGGAACAACGTGAATCTGTGTTCATACTCTTGACCGGAACTCAAAGCCACTTCACCGCAATACAAAATCCTTTTGCAATTTGCTTGGCTTCAAGCCCAAGCGATCACCAACTCTCAAACACAGAAAACACAGATGTGAGATCATGCGCTGACCCACCAAAGTATTGCATAAAATCTATGAAGCAGCACCTGAGACATTCAAGCAAATCGTCAGAACATAGATCTGTTGGAACAAAGGAGAGTGTCTGTGAAACTAGACTAGCAGAACCACGATGCAAATGAACAAGAACTTGGCGCACTGGAGCGCCCGTTTAAGTCCATCTGGCTGCCCTCGATCGGGCGAGAAGCCTGGCAGAAGGAATACGAATACTTCAAAAAATGAACTTGAGCACCAGTGATCCCGGGTGCATAAAAGAGCTGTGCAACGAAAGGCAATCGATTTGCTGTGGGGCCAGTACGGGGCCTGGGCCTGAGGATAGTTTTCTTTGTGGTTGAGAGAAGATCAAAACGAATTGGGCTGAACTTTGAGCGCTTACGGCTTACAGTGGGGCTTACAGCAAGACAGAAAGATTTCAGCGGACTCTCGAGCAATGACTTCCACATTAATCATTCAGGTTTCCTTCTTGCGAACTCCTGGCAAGTTGGGTGGATGTTTGGGAGGGAGCTCAGCCCAGCCGACCTCATCAAGCTGCAACGGAGAAGGCTCATCACCTGCCATCAACGCGCTCTCGGGGCAGTCTCATCCCATGTGTGTCGCGTGGAACCAGCTGGAACCCACTTAATAATACTTAATATTCATTACCAGTAGTACCGCACAAGGCGGTGGCGGAAGTTTCAAAAATAGGAAACCTATAGGAGAGGTTGGTTGTTGTGAATCACAGATGGCAGAGCGAAGCCAGTGACGGACCGAAAGGTTAATGAGGTCTCCTCTCTTTCTCTCTCTTTCTCTCTCTTTCTCTGAAAATCTACCTACCTGCCTACCTATCTATCTATGTATCTATCTATCTTTCTTTCTATCTAGCTATCTATCTATCAAGCTATCTATCAATCTATCTAATCTAATCTAATCTAAAACTTATCTAAATCTAATCTAATCGACCTATCTATCAATCTATCCATCTATCCATCCATCCATCTATCCATCTATCCATCTATCCATCTATCCATCTATCCATCTATCCATCTATCTATCCATCCATCCATCCATCTATCTCTCTCTCTCTCCCTCTCTCTTTCTGTCTATCTGTCTATCTGCAAGCTTGAAAACGAAGCTATTCTGTGAGACTTCCTCGGTTTTCGAACTTGACAACATCAAAAAAAACGCAGCAATTCAGCAAGACGTCCTCAATTTTTGCGCTTGACAACATCAAAAACGAAGCAATTCTGCGAGACTTCCTCATTTTTTAAACTGACAACATCAAAAACGAAGCAATTCGGCGAGGCTTCCTTCAAAAATGGAAAGTTGAGTGCAGAGCTGACGGCCTCGTTTTGCGATTTTTCGACTCCACCTGTCTAAAGTACTGCGCCTGCCACGAAAAAGTGATACCGGGTCATACGAAGTGCTGCACCTGTCACGCAAAATCATCTCAGCAAACCTGAAGATCTGATGCTCCAAAATGCAACCCCCTTCAAGAAATCAGCGCCCGAACCTCCTAACAGCTCTGATGAAGATGTCTCTTGTACTGTGCCTGCCACGGAAAATGCATCTTTGCAGGTCCTGTTCAAATGTCCCACGCCTGCCATCGTTTTTGGAAATGCTACAAAACCCTCACGTTTTGCTCACTTTTGACAAGGTCCACAATCCCTTGCGCCTGCCACGCAAAAGCACATCTGAACGTCCAAAAGTGCTCCGTACCCCAGCCAGTTTTTTACACTTTTGACTTCGAAATGTGCTTCGCGCCACAACGGCGTGCACTTTTTCGACATTGCAACTTCCAAAAGTGGTCCGAACATGTCCGAACATGGTGGGTCTTGTGCATTTTGACTTCGAAATGTGCTTCGCACATCTTCGCACCACAACGGTGTGCACTTTTTCGACATCTCAACTTCCAAACGTGGTCCGAGAATGGTGTGCTTTGTACATTTTGACCTCGAAATGTGCTTCGCGCCACAACGGCGTGCACTTTTTCGACATCGCAACTTCCAAAAGTGGTCCGAACATGTCCGAACATGGTGTGTCTTGTACATTTTGACTTCGAAATGTGCTTCGCACATCTTCGCACCACAACGGCATGCACTTTTTCGACATCTCAACTTCCAAACGTGGTCCAAGAATGGTGTGTTTTGTACATTTTGGCTTCGAAATGTGCTTCGCCCCACAGCGGCGTGCATTTTTTCGACATCTCAACTTCCAAAAGTATCCAAAAGTGGTCCGGACCTGCTGTGTTTTGTACATTTTGACTTCGAAATGTGCTTCGCGCCACAACGGCGTGCAATTTTTCATCTCTCCTCCGCACCCGCCGCTTTAGCGAGCCTACTTTTCGACCTTCCGGAGCCACAAATCATTGGAAAAACACAGTGTTTCGCGACTTTGCTGCCTTTTCGCGCACCTCGGATCTTCTTTCTTCTGAGACTTTCTCTTTTTTGATCTTCTTTCTTCTTCTCTTCTCTTCTCTTCTTTGACTCTTACCACCTCTGTTTTCATCTGTCCATACTGTCGGAAGTTTGACTTTTAAACTTCCTTCGAATCAGCAAGCATGCCCGGCAGTTCTGAAGCGCAGCCACTGGGGACTTGGTTGACCTGTGGGCCCACTGCAGGGCACATGTGCGTGGCACAACGTTGGGCAGTCACGTCAGCCTGGTTCTGAAGGTGCTTCTTGACGGGGACCTTAGCCAGGTCCGTCAAGCCATGTGGTCAAACGTGATGACAGCCTGATGACATGCGATGAGCCAACTGCACAAATTTCTCTCGGATGTGATGTAGCACACGGCTTCACTGAACTTGCTGTCATGAGATTGCTGCATTGCAGGCCACGCACTAGTCGCCTCTGCCGGGCGTTCAGGCAAATTGAATCTTTCACACATCATCGGGCAAACTCAAGGAGGATGTGATCCAGTCCTGTATAGAAATGCACCTTTGTTAAAGTCAAAATTGATAGTGATGTTGGTCGCCTCTGTCATTGCTACTGTTTCCTCCACCCATCTTCCCCATTGCTAGCTCCACAGTGTAATGTTGTGTTTATTGTCAAGGTCCGACAGTATGAGATCCTGTGATCTCCTCCTCTCCCTCTATCCATCGTCATCCACTCTGTTTTCAAGTGTCATATCCGGTCCCTGTGTTGCTATGACTGCTATGACTGCTATGCCTGCCTGCACAAGAAGAGGCTTCGAACCTGAAGCATGTCAGAGAAGAGCCGTTTGGTCAGAAGTCTGAAGTTCCCTTTTAAACTTTATATTACACAACCAGTTTGTTGTATGCATTAGTGGAAGCATCCCAATGTCTGCAAGGGCCACTTCAACACCTGGACTGCTGGTCCTTAAAAATCGATCAAGGGTGCAGGTCAACTGTGTCAACTCAGGTCAGAGCAGCATGCTGTGCAGCGACCAGGCCATAGCGCTGCAAAGAGGACCGCCTGTGCGCCATGGGAAAATTGGCCAATGAGACAATCACCTGGCAGGCGGCAGGCCTGCCGGAGCCACGGCCTGACAAAGGCGTCATGATGTTTGATGCGTTGATGTTTGTTGAGTTTCTGCAGTTTCCAAAGTGGAACATGTCTGAAGCATCTTGACCAATCTATGCCAATCTTGACTAATCTGGACCCGTGTCAAAGCGTGTCAAAGCACCAAATGATCACAATTCAAAAATGGATTTCATCGATTTCGGCCGGTGCAGTATACATCAGTAATTCGTAGCAATCATAATTCCAATTAGTACACCGTGTAGCGCCTTCTGGAGGAATTAATCGCCTTGCTGAGTGGATGTGTGGCGCCAGACTTGGGCACGGCTCCGGTCTCAGACGGCATTGCGGCAGGTCTAAGGCCCCCACCTGGGGTCGGTAAAGAACTCGGGCAAGTGGAGAAGGCCAGCCTTGAGCAGAAAATCCAAATTTTGCTTTCAAGCCATTAGGAGTCACCAGAGTCGCTTCAATCAGTTTGCCTTGTGTTGCTCCCACTCTTCACAGAAAATGTCAACCTCAATCCAAGAGTCATGAACGCACTCTGATCTGCGCGGCTGGAAATTGCGTTTCTCATCTCTCTGTCTCGGTGTTGCAAGGTCAATGTACTGCACATGCAAATCAAATGCAGCTCTGCTAATGCCAAGGTTGGTACCAGCCAAGCTCCGCCATCATCTCCGGCTTGGGCCTCGTAGCACGAAGACATCTTTGAAATCATGGCCTTCATGCTCCCAATGGTTCCTAGGTGTTTCCATTAGGTGTTTCCCCTGTGCTTGCAAACATCCTGGAGATGTCTTAGCCCCTGCGGGCACCTCTCGCAGAACCTCCTGGACGTGGGCAGCAGCTGCTCTCATTGAAGCCATTGACGCCCTGCAGAGCCAGTGATGAACACAAAGCCTGCGGTATTTGTCTTTGATTCGCCAATCCTGACCTTCCACACAAAATTGTATTGAAGCATGAGCACTGGGGAGATGGCTTGAGGGCAACGGCATGCACCACTGCAGTCATGTGACTGGCCTTTGCCAAGGCACATTTTTCAAAAATGATCAAAAATGATCAAAAATGCAGGCCAGGAGACTTGGCATCGGAGTTTCACTGAGCACTCGACATGTGCAACTTCCAGAAACATCCGGACCTCGATTGCGGCACACATGGAGGCTGCAAATGAGATGCGAATGTGGTCTTTGCCGGAGACTTCACTCTCTGAAGAACCAAGGATGGAGCTAGCGCCATGTATTGCTGCAACCTCAACATTGAAGCTACTGAAGCTATGCCAACGATGGGATTCGCTGGGCCTGCTCTGACCCGAAGACCTGGAAAATGGAAAGTGTGGTGTGTGGCACTAGTTGGTTCGCTCTCGGGCCCACACTGCCAGCAGGTCCTGTCAGTTATGGCCTGTGAAGAAGTTCGCATCACATTTTGCAGCTCATGTCCTTGTGAACTTGTGATGTTCTCGTTTCATGGTTTTCTACTTGCTCCAGATTCCTCAGCAAGACTTCTGCATGGACATGCATGTCGAGGTGCTGCTCTCGACTCTTTCCCACCATGATATTTTGCCATATCTATACCGCCTATACCATTCGATGCCATTCCCACATCAACGTACCTGGTAGAGGAGCGCCAAAGCTTCAGGCAGGCTCTGTGTTGTTTCGCTGGCCTGCAAGACTTCATTCATGCGCACATTGAACCACAACAGACTGCTGATCTTGTAAGAAAATCGTAAATCAATGTAAATCATGATGTTCAAGATATCTATTTGCATTTTGTCAAGAAAGAAGGAATGAAACCGGTTTTGGACCGCTTGGCTAGCTTCAGTTTACACCACAGAGCCGGATTGCCTTCGAGCCCGATTTGGGCTGGGAATTCTTCCAGGGTTGGCTTGGAAGTAGCTGGGCTTTCCTTGCTCACCCACATGCAAATTCAAATGGTAAAGTTTAGTTCCAAAATTAAAAAACACTTGGATCAAGAACAGCGAATTTGCATAAGCTAGGGCAGGCACACAAGGAAATCATCTGAGAACACAGTCCTGCCACATGCAGTCGCACTGGTTGCACTGCTGCTTGATTCTACCAAACAATGTGTTGGAGAAGGGATGAGAAGGGTAGATCAGTACACAAGGTATCAGTTCCTCTTCATGATGCATCCATGCAACACAGCTGCTGCCATAAGGAAGGTCCGATCCTGAGTGTCGCAGGTCTCTCAGTTGTGCAGTCAGGTCTGATGCTAAGAATATCTTAGAATCCTCTGGATCCTTTTGCTCCATGATGATCATGATGCGATCTACGAGTATTGAACCATCTACAAGTGCAGTATCAGATGTATCAGCGACAGTGGCCAAACGACTTCAGGATTCAGTTGCTTTGACCAACTCTAGCACAGAGGGTCATCATGGCGGTTCACCCAGCTACCAAGAAGCTACCCATGGTTGGGAAGCTGCCCCAGAGTGTATCGAATAGATTTGAGTGAGCTGTTTCAGAAAAGGCGGTTTGCATCAGGTGACGGCAGCGTCCCAACCAAGATGCACACTAACTATAAGAATTACTGTAGCCTGTGCTGCCTTTACTTCAAATGACCATATGGCATATGGTTTGGGATGCATTCTGGAAACAAAACGTCTTCGTCAACAAAAAGCATCCTGCACAAACACAAGGACACTGGAAGCACAATTTGCTTTGAGTTGTGACACCTGTGGCATCAGATCTACTTCGCAGATCAAACTAGCCAACTCCAATGCATGGCTTCAGTTGAAAAGCCATGAGGAAAAATTCAGATAAAGTAGTGCCGGCCCGCCCTTTCATTGCAAACTATGCATGCTGTCGACTAAAGGCCCGAGAATGGGCACGTCCAACTTGCAAGCCTTCGCAACAGCCTCAACAAGCCACAATGTCGCATACCCAACTTCGCTTCTACACAATCTGATCACAGTGTGCAGCCCAGTACACAAGTGGCCCCAAGTCTAAGCCTCTAAGAGCCTCCAAGCGAATACGGGATAATTATGGGAGATGTTGGCGGCCCCTCCTTGTCGCTCGTACAGCCTTTTGCAGCCCAGAAACGATGGTCCGGCTTGCCTTTGTACCAAGTCCACCTGGGTGGAAGTGTGTGGAAGCACAATATGCCACAAGCATGCGCAAATTTGCAATCAAGTGCCCTATCTCCCCGGCAATCGCACCTCCATCAAGTGTTTGTTTGCCTCCTGGCCAGAAACATGCAGTCCACTCAGTCAACTAAGGCTATCAGCTGACGTTAGTACGGTCCAGCACAATTAGCTTGTCACAAGCAAAGGACACTTTTTGACGATGCCCCGCGCGGCCCTATGACAAACTCGTGACTACACCGAAAAGTGGGGGCCTGTCACGATGCAAACATGGAGTGCTTATACAATAGCATGGCGCGTCCTCCTGGCAATTTGAGATGCAGCCAGGTATCGACTTGCCAATTCCCAAGCAGAACGACAGGTCGAATTGCTTCAAAAGGCTAGCTCATGGAGACACAGAAGTAAGCGGAGCTGTCCCGTGCAAGCAGGCTGGCTCACACCAACGAAAGTTAGACACGGTTGGTCACTGAGAAGCAAGCTGTGCAACAATGAAATATTAAGTCATATTATATTATATTAATTATTAATTAATATTGATTTATATTGATATCATTGAATATTGGGACTGTCAAAATGCATTGGATTTTTGGCTCCCTGCTTGCCTGTATGTCTGGCTGGGCCAGCTCCGGAAACCTTGAGACTTAACTCAACCATTGCGGGCTCTTGACAGGCAACTTGCCCCGGTCTGAGGCAGTGCTCAAACTTTCATGAGGTTCAAGTTGGTCAAGCACCAGGCATAAACCTGCTCTAACCATCAGGCAAGGCGGCAGGCATATTGGTAGATCAGACTACAACCACGGACTCACCGTGCTCACCGGGTCCACCAACATCAGCACAGCCACCAATGGATGGATCCTGGCACAACATCTGCAGGGCCTCTTCCACCCCTCTCAGCAGATTCAAATAGTGTCATGCGCTGGAAGAACACGAGAGTCAATAAACGAGGAAAGAAAAACATATCTCAATACCTAGGATCTCTTTGGAGCTTATCTATCACGCAGAGACATCTGCCATCACGGCAATGATTGAGGTATGTTGTGGGCAGGTGAAGTGGAAGGCCAGCCAGAGTTACAAGGTGAGGTGCCTGATGGTGAGTAGGTCTAGGCAAGAGCGTGGCTTGATGTGTTTTCATGTTTTGGTCTGGTCTGCATTTTTGGGGTGCGTTCCTCGAGATAAGCCTAAGTTGGAACCAAAAGCAGCAATTGTTTGGATGCTCAAGCTGTTTGGCTGCTACGATTTTGTGTGTTTCAGTTAAGACATGCAAAAGGAGATGCAGGTAGGAGGTAGGCATCCAAAAAACACCGCAAATGCCGGCATTAACCTTCAAACCCGTGTCAATAGCAACGTTTATCTCGTTTTGAAGCGATAAAATACTTCTCCTTTCAAGCTTTTGGGCACCGTTCGAAACACATGTAAAAGCCACATGCCAAATAGCAGAATGCTACGCCCTTTGGCAGGCAAAAGTTCAGGTATGTACCGCCATGTTTTCTAGCTGACCAGGACTGCGAAAAGCGTCGAACATAGCTGTCTTTTGTATTCTTTTGTCATTTCTAGTTTTTGATGAGCTTCTTTGTTCGACTCTACTCTTACTCCTGTTCCGTATTTGGGTTTGTGAAGCCTCTTCTTTGGCAGTGGTCTTGCGCGGTTCAGAATTTAGATGCCTGCTCGACTACTCCTCCGCTGTTTTGAGAGATACTGTGCAGTGTGGGCAAGAAACACCAACCCCAAGCCTCAGAAGCAAAGGCAGCCTCTAAAGCTTTGATACTCCTGGAAGGAATGCAACGGCAGTATGAGTCTGAGGCATCAGCGAGTGTCCGAAAAAAGGTCAAGACTGAACCACAGGGTACCACAGGCAGAGAATTAGGAAACAGACCACTGTTGACATTCTTCGTCACCCACCAAGGTTGGAATCAAAATCTGATGAGCTCCTGGGGAAGCCTTTCTTGGCGAGCACATCAGCCTTGCAGAACTTCAGGTAGTCATGGTCTTTCAACAAGCAAGCCTGCAACGGCCAGGTATGAGGACCTTGAGGACCTTGAGGACACATCATTTGTGAATCCACTCTGGCTATGTGAAGCTGGCAGGGCCTGATGGATCGTCTTCAGGCGCTTCTGCACAGCCCAGGTGCAGCCACTCGCCCAGGCGTCCTTGCTGGGCCGTTGGCCAGGTGGGCAACGACCACCTTTGGGCAGCCCATACCTTAGTGACAGAAATGCCATGAAATGCGATGGTTTTTTGATCACCCCAACTACCCAAAGCCCTTCTGGGGCCAGGTGCCAAAAGCCGATAGGGCTCCCAGCATCACACCTGAGGCGTCATATTTCGTATGTCAAAAAAAAAACAGAAGCCACGATTCTACATATCATCTGCACCATGATCATCCATGATCCGTGAATTCCACATCTTGGACGAAACTGCCTCTTCTCACCATCGCCTGCGAAAAATGGTGCTTCCTTACCCACCAACCGCGGGTCTCCACCGATACAGGATGGACCTGGTGGTTTGGTGTCCTCAGCTCCGCGTTCTGAAGCCTCTCAGTTGCTTCAATGTATTACTGAGCACCATGCCGGGTAGCCATTGCACAGGGCATACCTCGCAGGAATCAATCAGGAATTCACGGTGCTACCACCCAAACAGCTCTAAAGGGCTCACAAGTTCACAAGGAGTCACTTTGATCACTTTGATCACTTTGATCACTTTGATCACTTTGATCACTTTGATCACTTTGATCACTTTGATCACTTTGATCACTTTGATCACTGTAAATGGCCCCGTTTCGACATGTCGGAGCAAACAAACATCAGAAATCGGACACAGCCAAGAAGCTGTCCGAATGCGGGCGAAACCTCGAGGGTATAACGTGAGATCCTTGCGTTGGAGGCGCTTCCAACGAAATGAAATGTGTGCAGTCATTTGTTTCTTTTGGTTTCTTCGTGTACATGTCACAGGTCCAGGATTGGCTGCAACAGAAGCAAGTAGAAGCAATCAAAAATGCAAGAATACCCCAGCTTACTTGTGATCACAAAGGCCCTGCTGTGCCAGGAAAGCAGGTGTGATTCTTCCAAGTAGGCCAAGTAGCAGGGTGTAGTTGTGATCAATGAAGGACTTCTGATTTTGAAGGCAATCCATGCAAATAAAGAGGGCATCTCCGGCAAGATCAGCAACGTTTTGGTCCTGAATCAGCCCAAAACTGTCATGAAAAAGCACATTTTGAGCTCTATACTCTATACCCCTCGCTCTCTCTGCCTCCCTCACTTCTGCCTCTCTCTCTCTCTCTCTCTTTATCGGTCTCTCTCTCTCTCTTTCTTTCTCCCTCTCTCTTTCTATTGCCATTGCGATCTGTCTGCCCCGTGGGTTGAAGTTTGATGAAGGGTGTGTCAATTTGCTGGTCCTCGATATTGTAGTCTTCGGCAGATATTCCCGGATGGAAAACATACGCATCCTTGGCAAGAATGGATCCCGACAACATGCCGCAAGGGTTGCACTGTCCTCTTCCAGAACAACGCGAGGGATGGCACAAACAGCAGCTTATGTAGTCAGTAAATTTCCGCTTTTTGCCAAACCTTCTAGCTAAAATCCTCATATATAGGCAGTGAGAGCCTGGGAGGCCACAACAAAATCTTCAAGCACTCTCTTCAGAAATCTACTGCCAATTCAATTGGTCAACTGGCTGACCAACCGCACAGATTGGCGCTAAGCATCCATTGCAACCGGCTCCAACCCACGGCCATTCTCGCATGGTGGAATGAACGTCTCGCAGATGTGAGGCTTCTCAAAGACCGTCTCTGACACCTCCAGAAGAAGGAGGTTGCCAAACCAGTCCAACGGCATGCAAAGGGAACTATCCAGCCAAACCATCTAGCAGAATCTAGCCCCCTGCATCGTTCAACCATTTACCAGTCTATCCAAAGTGGAAGGGATTCGCATGGACTCCGCTGCCTTGCTTCCATCCGTCAAGGGGCCAAAGTGATAGGTCATGTTGTAGCTCTTTGCACCAGTTCCACCTGAGAGCAGTCGTGAAGTTGTCTGAACGCGAGCACGGGCACACCCTCACATAAACATACATAAACGCATCCTTGGTACTGGCGTTGGTAGGAATGCTCATGTTCAACTCAACTGGATCGTTGCCATCAGCACAAAGTGTGATTTTGGAGGGAGTCCTTGGCTTGGAAATCAAGGACCGGGGCATCATCAACAGAATGCAGCCCCGTCATCACCATGCTTCCTGACATTGGTCCCAGTGTTGTTAATCGATCCAAGGATCTTGGAACGCAAGTTCCACAACGAGCAAACCCTGCCAGCAACTGCGTGCTTTCCCTGGTACTCTGAGACGAGCGGGTTGGCTGCCCAAGCAAAAAGGTCTGCATATCCTGCCACGTGCGAAACGAACACAGGGCCACTCTGCACAGTTTAACCATGCTTTGAACCACAACCCTCTTGAAGGCGAGGATCTTTGCTGGCCAAACATTGGCAGCTGACGGCAAATAGGATGATTGCCACCAGTGATGTCCCATGATTCATTTCCGCGCATCCTTGGCTGACTGCATGAGCGATGAACAGCAAGGACCCGCGAAGTTGTACCTCCCTCAGAACCATTGAACCATTGAACCACCGAACCCCCGTTCGAAAACCAAACCTGCGGCCATGCCTCAAACTAGTGATATTGGTCAGCAGCTGCTCAGTACCTGGAAATGGTCGGAGGGTCTCCACTCTCATGGTCTTTTCATCTGCATCTTGTGCGAAGAAGCCGTTGCCAATCGCAGGGTAGCCTGGCAAAAACACGGCCAACAACTGAATGCCCGAAGTACTGCAAAGGTTAGCACACTTGAACCCACAAGTGGAACTCATCGAAGGGAATGGCAGCCCATGGCGGCCAAAACTGCGGCCTGTGTCAAAAGATATGAACTTGATGTTTGCTGAAAAGCGGTGGGGAACAGCTGGTCGTGCAGGTTCGTCAGCAGGCTGCGCAACCTGCAGAGCAAACATCGACATCACAATGAAAGAGCAGTTAGTATACCACATCAAAAGATAAAACAATTTTGTCCACAGCAGATCATGTGCCGAAATTCTGATCTGCATCCTTGTACTGGATACATCGCTAATACAAGTACCAAAAGCAGAAAGTGCACGAAATGTGCAGGCCTGTGTTCTCACGGGTTTCTCCTCTGCTGCTTCAATGATGCCAGCAGCTTCCTTCAACACCCAACGCACCTAATTTCAATGATGGGCGCCGGTTGTGGACGGGTGCCTCCCCTTAATGGCGACCCCCTCCCAACAGACCATGGAGTTGCGGCATCCTGAAACAGAACCTCACATACCTCTCCGTTTTGCGGCTTGCATTCTGAGCTGCCCCTGAAATGTATGACGATGTCAAAAGCGATTATTGTGCAAAGTTCTTCATCAGAACGTAGACCAAGCACAAGTATACATTATAAACATATATACGTACAATGTAAGAATAAAAGGTATATAGATATGCGTGTGTGTGTGTGTGTTTATCCATTTAACTTCTGGCGAACCTAAGGAAACAGTGCAGAGCAAGCCGCCAACGTCCAAAGCATATCCTTAGCACCAAGGCACTTCATTGCCTGGGTACTGTTCCGCAGGAAGGACTGGGTGTGCCTGGGGTCAGTGGAGGTGAGCAGGTGGAGAAAGTTCTTGTGAAACTCACTACCAGTTTGGGCAAATGGTCCACCCACGATAACACGGGACGCCAAGCTGCTAGCGTCTGCAGCAGGGGCACAGAGATCGCCAACCATTGCTCAAGGCGCATTATCGCGAAGGAAACTGGATGTTTACAAAGAAACTTCCGCGCACACAGAAAATTGTCTTGAGTCTTGATCCAGATATTTTGCGACGGGTGTGATGTGGGCATGTTGAAAGTGGGTCTCCATTGGAGACTCTCCGTATGATAAAGGCGAAAAAAACTGCTGCCCAAGCAGCCAGAAACTTCATTTTGCAGGTCACGGTGAAAATTGAAGAGTTGTGTCTGGTCTCTGGAGGTCACTGGAGGTCACTGGAGGTCACTGGAGGTCACTGGAGGTCACTGGAGGTCCCTGGAGGTCCCTGGCCTCCTCCCTGGCCTTTGCTTCTTCCTGCTCCTTCCAAGGATGAGGGGCTTTCAGCGCCTTTCATTAGTGTGTTTCTTGGGGATTTGGCTTGATGCTCGAGAACGTAGACTAGCAGCCACCGGGTCCTGCTGAATCCTCCTTTCTTGCAACTCCAAGTACGCCTTGCGCTGCTGCTCTTGGACCTGCCATGATGGCAGGATTGGCCGAAGTCTTCACTAAGCTTCAAGTAGCCTGTAGCAGATCCCAATGATCCCATGATTTTGACAATGTGTGAATATGACCCATCAATAAACTCCTGTGGAATGAACTTCTGTGAGCATGCCCAATCCTGGCGCTGTTCAAGCTCAGCTTCCCTGTGTTCAGCTAGGCTTCGGCCTAAGATGGAAAGCAGCTCTTGACCAACATGTATGAAGTTCCCAAGTGTTCTCATCAAGGGCAGGCATGCCATGTTAAAGAAAGCTTCCTGTGAGAACTGGGCAGGAAATAAATAAGGCAGAGAAACTTTGGTTTGAACTACACTCATATAGAACAAGTACAAACATAATCAAACATAATCAAACATAATCAAACATAATCAAACCTAAACTCAAATTTGCTTCCCTGCCCTGGCAGTTTCTTCCTGGCATAGCCTCAACTCTTGGTGACAATCATGGTTCTGCTGTTTTGGTGAGGATTCTCGTCCATTTCGCTCCCTGCGACCAATTGCATGCCAGGTGACGCAGGCTTGCCTGTCACACAGCAGCAAGCTGCAACACCATCAGTGAAACAAAATTCTTGGAGCTCAACATCCCATTTTACATCATTTTACTATATAATTCACCGATACTTTTTTTTTCTTGCTGCTCATGCCCCCATTGTAGCAGACGAAAAACGCATTCATTGATTTCTGCTCGAAGCCCCGACGGCCCGGCTCCCTCTGCGGCCTCTGTTTCATGCCTCGGAGGCAGGCTTGAAAACAAGCACAAGTCATGATAAAACAAACCGAAGGGCAGAAACAATCTCAAGAGCTGATTATTCGACTGCATCCCCAGCCTGATTTGGCCCAAAAATCGTCAGTATTTCCGGATATCTCCGGTGTTTCCAGACAAGCGGCCGGCTGTCCAGCCATGTCCATGCTCGCTGCAGGCTCTCATCGGTCCACGGATCTGCGTCCAGCTTTTGAAATTCAGGCTTGGCCTGCGGACTTCATGGACTTCATTAACCCACGATAAGTATCAATAATAAGTCTGCTTCGTATCAAAGGGTTGCAACTTGAAATAATTAGTGTCGTGGAATCTCAAGATTCACACTGAGAAATTCAAATCATGGGGTCTGGAATGCACCGGGACTTTTGCTGGCACTCTTTGGAGTGCTTTGAGAAAATATGTCATTCCTGTAAGTTGCCAAACTTTGCTGAAATGTTCGATGCTCCAGTCTCGATGCAGATGCAGACTCCAAAAAATGTAAAGCATCGTTTTAGATTGGCCAGCTATCCTAGGAAGCCGTTGTTTGTACCTGCTAGCCAGCCTTCAACCTGCATTCATTGCCAAAGTCAAGCCATGACCACACCTGCTTTAAGGGGCGCTTCTGTCCGCACTCTCGACAGTACTGCGACTCCTAAATGAGAGGAGTCGCTTGAAGAGAGAAAATGGGCAGCTGGGCAGCTGTCGAAAGAAAAGCAAATGGTGCCAGCTGCTGCCAGGTCGCATTTGAAAACGGCAGCGAACAAACTGGGCATGTAGCAGCCTGGGGACGTTCTGACAGCTGCCAAACGGTCTGGTCACTGTAGCCGCAGCTGCCTAGAGGGAAGGTGTGGAGCCCTAGCTAAGGCTCCAGCTGGTTCTACGGGTATCTGCACATGCGCGTCTACAAGCTGTCGAGGACAATCTCCATCCCAAGTTACATCACCTCATCAACCCCAAGGTTGAAAAACATATGGAGTGTCCATGGGTCCAAATGGACTCATTCAAACAGCACGGCTCCCCAGACCCAAACCGCTTCTTGTCCAAGAGTCCTTCACACTGTCCTCGGTCCAAGAAGGCATGTCCAGATTCCAGCACCTTTTGCGGGTCCACAGTGGAGTCCGCCAGGCCGCCTTAGGATGAAAAAGCCATCTGGGCATCGGCATCATGGCATGGCCGCCCTTCGACATCTCAAATGCTGTAGAGCCACGCGCCGGGCGAAGACTCAAACAACACTCGAGGCCAGGCTCTTCGCCACCACAACGGCGGTACATCGACAACTCGACCTGGCACATGAGCTGAACTACCTGGCCTCTACCTGGCAGCTACTTGGAAGATCCGACCTGGATCGCAACCTGGAAGCACATTGACCCTCAAAGGGCTAGAGCGGCTAGAGAAAAGAGAAATCGGTGGTTGGTAACAAGCGTGCCAGCAGCATCTATCATCACATCCCAAGGCGATACACTTCTCTATTGTCTTCATTTCCCATGACTGTCAAATTCCGTCACTTGTACAGTCCTGTTTGGAGGGCTGGGGTGGGTTGGGGTGGGGGTGGAGTGGGGTGGGGTGGGTCAAGAACGTTCACTGGGACTTCACACCGGATGGTAGCTTCCACCGACAATTATGATATAAAAACGAAAATGATGATCAGGACAATCATAAAAAGCATAATGATTTTTGCCAGGGCGTCGCAGAGGATTTGCCCTACATCATGGCCCTCGTCTCCCGCAAAGCAGCAGTGTCATAGGCACTTAATTAACCTTGACAGGAAGGGGGCGATGAGAAAAAGCATGATGATGACAGTGCTATTGATGATGACAATGATGATGCTGATGATGATAATGACCTAGATGATCATCATGGTCATGATGATGCTCAGGAAGGTGATGCTCAGGAAGGTGATGATCATGATAATAATTAAAACACATACAAGCTGACAGTGGCAGAGGTGATGATAATGATACTGATGCTGATTAAGAAAAGGATAAATAGAAGGAAATATTGTAATGGTGGTGCAGGTGACGATGAGGATGACAACAATGAAAGTGCTGATGCATGGTGGTATTGATATTATTGATGATGATGATGATGATGATGATGATGATGATGATGATGGCGGTGATGATGGCGGTGATGATGGCGGTGATGATGGCGGTGATGATGGCGGTGATGATGGCGGTGATGATGGCGGTGATGATGGCGGTGATGATGGCAATGATGATGGCAATGATGATGGCAATGATGATGGCAATGATGATGGCAATGATGATGGCAATGATGATGGCAATGATGATGGCAATGATGATGGCAATGATGATGGCAATGATGATGGCAATGATGATGGCAATGATGATGGCAATGATGATGGCAATGATGATGGCAATGAAACTGTTGAAAACGATGCTGGTGATGATCATGGTGATCAGGAAGATGATCGTGAGCATAATGAGAACGATGATGTTGATAATCATAATGATTATGATTATAAAAAAAAAATATGATGGATCGAGGCAGCTACAAGCGAGCAGAATCGACAGTCACAAGTAAGACACCGCCTACCGGCCCCACCTCGCTGGCAGATTTTGCATGGGCCCAGGTCCGGAACTCACATAGGTTTCCCATGAAAGGTCCCAACCTCAGGCTGTCATAACAGGGTCAAAACATTGTTGGCTGTACTGCCCTGGCTGTTGTGACCCCCAAGTGTCGTGCCTGAGGTCTGAATCTGCATTGATGGCCCAGACTTCAGTTCCACAGGCTACCTTGCCGCGGCAGTGTGTATAGTGTATACTGTCTGGGACGCTTGACAACAGCCTCATGCCGTGTCCTTTGCTCGCGCTATTGACAGAAAGAAGCCCCTTGTGAATTGCTTCTGCCAATCTGTGGGGCACATGCACCTGAACACCATCCTGGAACACGGCCACCTGCCATGAAGGAAGGTCAATTTTGATCAATTGAGGTCATTGAGGACTGTTGGTGGTTCAGCGCCGGCCTTGAAATCGTTTTCACTTGAGTTAAAGCTCCACGTGATGGCTACATGCATCCAGCGACGCATCCTAAGCTGCACAGCCAGAGTTTCTTCGACTCTCTCTCTCTCTCTCTCTCTCTCTCTCTCTCTCTCTCTGGCCTTTTTTCATCTCCATGAACAATGGCCCGAGAATAAGAAATATAAAAGCAGTCACCGCACTGCGACCCTGCAATCAAGACACTTCTGCACCAAAAATTTTGACGAATACTTTCTTTCGCCAGCCATTACCAATTCCAAACCTGGCTGCACTCTGACATTGAAGCAGCAAAGACTTCCTTCAAACTTCAAACATAAACCGGTGCATCAGGCCTCCACCAGGCTTCAGGTCAAAGACCTCAGGAGTCACTCAATCAACATCAATCAATCATAAAAAGTTCAAGCGTGGTAAGCTTCGCAACAGGTGGCTTGACAGGTCATGCCATGGAAGTGACGACATGTGCTTATCAAGTCTTATCAACGCATCCACACCTGGGCACCTGTAACATCCGGAAAAAAAATACAAATCAGGATGGACAGTCAATGGTGCTCTCGATCTCTCCATGGTAAGTTTTGCACGGCTTGTTTTGCACGGCTTGGAGCAAGCTTCTACCATTTTCTACCTATTTCATCCATCCATTCCTTTTTTGTTGGTCCACTGTCTCTCCCCGTCTGTTTTCCACACCTAGTGCCACCAGGCTGCGGGAAGCTGCCGGGGCAGGACATGGAGCTGGTGACCAGCGGTTGTCGTTTCGTCACGTCCTGCAGCGGTTTTTGGACGGTGCAAACTCAGCTGAGGCCGTCGGCGGCCGACAGTCCTGGCATCGCACCCAGAACTCAATGGTGAAGTCACCTGCCAAGAAGAAGCGCATGCGGCGCATGCGAATGCTGTCTTGCAACGGCTCAGCTTCAAGTCAAGCATGCAAACAGAATAGAAGCTTTGGATGCATAATTTTGCAGGAGATCGCACCTTCCAACAGCCCAAAGTCTGAGGCAGGACCCAGCAGAATTGATCCCTTGGACAAATCCACAGACCCACCTTGCGCTTCAGAGTGCCAGCCGACTTGAATACTGTCGCTTGGTCTACTGGGAGTCTATCAACATGAGTACACAACGCACCTTGTTTCTCGTCCAGGCAAAAGCCCTGGATGCTGTCCTGTCTTGCACACCCATCCAGAGTGGACAAACGATGCGGCAAGTTTTTCACTACCACATACTACCGCCAATCTGCACATGTTCTGCGGTCAGTGCTGCGGGGGGGACAACCTGAACTCCGAAAATTCTCTGCACCCCAAATCGCCGACACATCACCGAGTCCTCCGCCAAGCGTTGGAGTTGGTACACCTCCTCCGCCTTGCCGAAGTCCTCAGCCTCCACTGCCTGGAGCTCCACGGCCGGGTCAGGCCAGGGCTATTCGAAACACCGGGTGATCGCCGTTTATCCAGAAGGTCTGAAGAGTCTGAAGGATCCAAAAAGCAAAGGAGCCTCGGCAACACGAGCAACGATTTGCTCGTGGAGCTGCTTGAGTCGAGTCAAGCGAGCCCACATGGCAGTCCTTAGCATCCAGGCAACTGCTTGCGATTGCTCGCAACATGCTTCATTGATGGTGACTGCGGACCAACTTGCGACAGCTACAGCAAGCCATAAATACTGTATATTATATATATATATGTGTGTGTGATGTCAATAATTGTCAATACATCTCAATACCAAGGGGCTGCTCTTTACTCAGACTATCACGCAACTGCTTCAGCTGCTTGGCCTCAGAGATGCAACTAGCCACGAGCATCATCTTTCCTCTATCCATGGCATAGGAAAGGTTGCAGCTTGGCCGCATTTTCAAAGCGGTAGGACGCCGTAGCCTCCACCATAGCCCGTATAGCAGCCACCTATCCGAAAGCTATTGTCATTCAGGCATAGGCGGATTTCGCTCAGGAAACAGCTTCCACATGAGAACATTCATGCACCTTTGCTTGCAGAATGTCAGACAAAGACAGTTCAGCATCTTTGAGCATGCAACCTTGCAGTGAGTGTCAGAAAGGCAGCTCAGAAGTGCAATGCAACACACTTGCAGAGAGCAACGACAGAAAAAGGTGGTCCAAAAGAATCATCATTGGATCAAAAAATGCTCCAAGTCCGGGCTACCAACTGAGCAGATTCGCTCTCACAAGCTCTATGCCTGTTGGGGTCTCAAAATCCTGGCTTCATCAAATTTGAAACACTGCAGAATGCCACACAAAGCGAGTTCAAATTGAAATGCACGGCTCCTCCTTGACCTGCAACTTGTCGCTGCTTGGCCTGGCATGTCCAAATCTCTCGAATTCGACATATCCAAACCATCGATGCAATTTTCACACGCTAGGTGCCTTCGAGAGGACTCTGTTGCCTCGAATGCTTGTGGCACAGGTAGACTGTTGCCTCGAATCGGCCATGAATGAACGGGAAAATCGCACATTTTGTTCTAGTTTCTAGTTCTTGGGCACTTCCTCGTCAATTTCTCTTCCACTGATGCTACCTGAAGCTCACAGCCTGCCTCCGGCAAGCGCATCGGCCCTGGCATCAAGATCCACCACTGGCACCTCAAGCCCATCACGTACAATTGACGCCACCCTCTCCCAATTTTGGCTCAATGAGTTCGGCATCATGACGCATTAGTGTAATTCAACAATGCTTGATGTCAATTGTGGTCTTTAGCATTTTGGCCCAAGGGCTAAGACAGGCAAGGACTTGAAGTCCCCAGTACTTAGCATTTTCCTGTCTGCACAACTCTGATCTGATTCACACCCTGCAGGCCAATCTCCAGGGTTTGCAAGTCCCTTTGGGGCGGCATTAAATCCATACCTCAAGCCCCGTCATCCCCAAATATTAATTGTTGGGCACTACCTGGGCCCTCGGCTGGCTCCGTCACCGATGAAAAAACCTGGCTAATCTTGAAGAATCTTGCCGGTTCAATGGCAATTGGATACGCTGTGACATACTATGAAGTCGCAGTGCCACCATGTCACCAGTGCCTGTACATGCTTCTGCCTTGGCTATTGCTGTAGAAACGAAACCACGGCAAACGGGGGGAGATGTCTTGGGACAAGCAACTCAGTTGAGGAAAAGGATTCAAACCCGGTCTTTCAATTGATTCAAGAACCTCAATTGATTCACTTGAATCCTCACAAACCATTGGCCGTATCCGGAAGTCATGGCTCCACACTGTCACACGACCTCCTCCAAGCCGGGGCACTCTGTGTCGACCCACTGATTGACATCGTGAAGTCGTTCGTTGGCATCAGCGACAACGTATGGCCCTTTTGGTCCACCCACCTCGGCAATTCTTAGCATCCGGCTATGTATGCTATGTCACATGTGCAAGCAAGACTCAAGTGTCACTTTGATATGCCTGGGCCTATGTTATGTGTACTTTTGTGAACACCAAAATGGCTCGCAAATGGACGTGCATCCCCAAAAAATGTCTTGCAGTTTTGGACTCATCCCATATATTGGATTTTGGAAATTCCCTGCAAACTGCTGATGGAAAGCAGCAATGTGCCACTGCAATGAAAGCATTACAGCTTTTTATTCCTCATCCATGCGATCGATCCACATGTCATTGGAGAGTTGTGCATTCGACGAGTTGCCCTTCATCAGGCACTTGGATGCATTGACCAACATTTCAATCATTTGGCATCGTCCCAATGCTACTGCCGTCCGCTTTCAGTCCAAAACTCGAAGTGTTCCTTCGTTAACGTGGTGAAAAAAAACTCTTGAAAGCGGAAAGAGCACAAATGATGTTCATTCAAGACATCAACAGCTGCTACATGGCATTTGATGGGCAACTGTGTGTCAAACAAATTCTGGGACATTCCCCAGACTCAGCAGTCAGGATCCTCCACAACGGAATCGAGAAGGATCAGCTCGTTCCGCACGAGCACCTTCGTTCTGCAAGGAGCTGAGTTTGGGTTTCCACACAAGGCCCTTGTTCCTCGAGTTGGCGCGAGCACGAGCACATGTGCCTTTGGTCTTGCGTGGATCTGGCGACTGAGTTGGAAGTGACAAATCCCGCCGGCGAGACCCAGTCCAAGCAATCTTGGTCTCAGGTTTCTCAGGCTGTTTCTCTGACAGTTCCACAGTCACTGACTCAGTCGCTTCCAGCTGACCAGGCAAGAAGGCATACATGTCCTCGAGATCACATCCCTTGGGTTGATGACGACCCGTGGCCTCCATCAGGGCTTTGCTGAAGATCACGTGGCTTGGTGGACTCAATGGTCGTCTCTTCTTTTCCTTGTCAGTCACTGGTTTCATTTGAGCTTTCAAAACCCTCTTTCATTCCACTATACGGGTTGGTCAATAAGGATTTTCATAATGGATTATGATGATCCCCAATATGTGCTGCAGAATCCCCTACAATCATCGACCAACACGGGTTTTTGAACACCGCTCATTTTGCTTCCCACCCTTGGCAAGACATTTTTCAGACTGATTCAGTTTCAATCAAACGTCTGCAAACATCAAATGCAACCCAGAATCTACGGCATCGGGTCCAGCTTGATCATCAGAGTCCATTGCAAAGCACAGCGGAGCCGGCGGCATGTCTACTGGGCCCTTAATGTGGCCTCACCCTACCCGCGACAGAAAACACGGCAACACAAGCCCAAAGTGGGACAGCAATTTGTCACACCTGTTGAAGCTGAAAAGATCTGTTCCGAATGCTTGGATCATGCGGGGCAGATCTGGTGAGCCAACTGCGCGGAGAAATTGGTGACGAAAGAAAAGCGTGTCTCATCACTGCGCTAAGACCTGAACACTCTCTAGCTCTGCGCATGCAGCCCATTAACAGCTACACGGCTACAAATGTTTGTTGCTCCTTTTCGAAATGTCCATTTTTACTGTCCATTTTTACGTAGCGCTTGTGCACAGAGTGAACTGCAGCTCGGCCCAGCTTGAAAACTGAGGCTTTCGCATTCAGCATGTCTGAGTCCCATTCATCAACGATCTGAGTTGTGGAGCTAACCTGGTCATTTGAGGCTACCACACCATTCAACAGGGGCACTCAGGCATCCACACTGCACTTGTGAGGCGCCTGAACTTCTCTGGAGCAGTCGATATTAAGCGGTTCCTCATCACCTGCAGACACTGCAGGCACTGTGGACCAACCTGCAGCAGGTCCATTAGAGGAACTGCTGCACTGTTGTTATGGGTGCCAGCGGCCTTTCGGTGCTTTTCCGCAGCATCTCGGCAGTCGGGATTTCCTTATGCTCACGATTTTGGATGCCGGCAGTGATTCTCAGCACCATGAGACTATCTAAACTGGGTCTAAACCGGATTCATCCGATTTCCAAAGGTTTTGGTGCCAGACCTCGGTCTCTTGGGCCGATGAGACGACTGACCTTGGGCACACTTCGTCAAGCAGCACTAGCAGCACTAGCTGCCCAGCTCCGCATCTGTCACTGAGCGTCAAACCTTGCATTCTGCAAAGGCGAGCAGCTTTGAGGCTTTGAACCGCTTGGCAGCAGATTGCTATTAGTCGTGTCCATTCTTTCAAGTGTGAGTCATGAGTCAGCATGAATCAAGAATCTTTGTCGAAACAACAGCATGTGGGGCAGGCCGGTGCTGTCAAAACAGTCAGCAAAGGTATTTCAACTGTTAAACATTTGCTTGAAATCATGTACTGTACTTGGGCCGACCAAGTAAACCGAGCGCCAAACCTCTGGCAAACTAAGAGTCGCAAGGAAGCTGTCCTAAGTTCCCAACTCTCACTGTGTGTCTCAGAGTTCGGTTCCCCTGGAATCCCAGATAGACCCCTCTTGCTGCAGGCAGAATTCTCGAAGCGGATTCTTGACGAAGTCCCCCTGCCACCAGAAGATCACATGTGTGAATCCTACTGCATCGGGTCAGAGATGAGCTTAGTCATTGAGATTTCCCAGTTTCAAAAGTGACGCTGGTGCTGTCCACTCCAATGTTGTGACATGCCGTGGCAGAACCTCCTTGGTTGTGAAGCTAGCTTCTTTCACTTGGCCCGGCAGCACCTTGCCAGCTGTGCAGTGCCCATGTGACATCACCATGGACCGCTTCTGCTTGTCCAGGCACATACGCAAGCGCTGCGGGAACCGTGGACCACAGGAGGGCTTGTGCCATTGGCTCCTGGCGCATTAGCAGCTTCCCCAAAAGGGCGGACTGCTTCAAATAGAGTTGTGATGAGCTGTGCTTTACCATTCTTTAGGCTCAAGTTTCCGCGAAGCATCATTTACTGAGCTGAAACATGTTCAGCACCTGTCAGCACTGAAGTACTGTAAGAAAATGACAGCAGTCGCTCAGCCGCAAGAGCTGTCCACAAGAACCGGGCAATGGAAGGTGTCGAGGACCTTCAACAATGTCAGCGAAGCATTTTGCCAAGACTCATTAGACGACCCACACCTGCCGAATCAGGAAGAGCGCCACGTGCGGGGACAAGATCCTAACCTCAAAAGTGATTTGATTCAGTGACGCTCAACAACATTTCAGCCTCCAACAAACTAGGGTTTGCACGACCGTGTTTCCATTGCGTTGGGCAGAAGCATTTGACACTCCAGCTAAGAGGACTGGCCTCAGGCCAAATCCAAAGAACCGCTTGAAGCGCTTGCTGCCAATTTATCACATGCCTGAAGCCTGAAGCTGCACCATTTGCACCAAGTTCACAGCAGGATAGCACCGTTTAGGAGACGGTCAGCTAAGACCTTCACGAAAGGATATCAAGCAAAGCCCGACAGCCCTGTGAAACATGTTGAAACATGTTGAAATATTCATTCAGAATCTTATGGCCTCATTCAACTCTTCAATACCGAGCTCGAACACATCTGAGAGGTAGATCTGGAGATCCTGAAGTCGAAAGCACAACAGCCAATCAGCCAATCTTGCCTTTAAAAAAAAAAAACATTGCTGGCCAGCCGAGATCGTAGAGTCCTGCTGCAGTTCATTTTCTCGACGCACTGCTGACAGCTCATCCTTGCGATGGTTCGGCACACACAAGCCCCGGAGGCTGCTACGTCTGCTACACCATCAACATCCACCCAGTCGCAAGAGCCTCACTCGTGACTTTGCTAGCTGCTGCATTTAGTCGCAACCTTGGCGTTGATGACACTGACCATGTCTCGCAGCACAGTTGCTGAGGAGCAAACCAAAGGTCTTGCAAATGGTATGCCAGCCTTATCTTGAGCTTGGGAAAATTCCAAGCCTGTCAAGGGTCAAGGCTTCCCGTATCTCCCTCCATGTGCGAATGTCGAACCGATGCGTGCTTTGTCAGGTAGGAGAAGCAAGCAAAGAAGGGGAATTGCATTGTATAGACTGCGGAGAGAGAAAGAGAGAGACAGAGAGAGACAGAGAGAGACAGAGAGAGACAGAGAGAGACACAGAGAGACACAGAGAGACACAGAGAGACACAGAGAGAGAGAGATAGATAGATAGATAGATTGATTGATTGATTGATTGATTAGATAGATTAGATAGATTAGATAGATTAGATAGATTAGATAGATTAGATAGATTAGATAGATTAGATAGATTAGATAGATTAGATAGATTAGATAGATTAGATATAGATTAGATAGACTTAGATAGATTAGATAGATTAGATCGATTAGATCGATTAGATCGATTAGATCGATTAGATCGATTAGATGGATTAGATCGATTAGATCGATTAGATAGATTAGATAGATAGATAGATAAGATTAGATTAGATTAGATAAGATTAAATTAGATTGGATTAGATTAGATTAGATTAAGATTAAGATTAGATTAGATTAGATTAGATTTAGATTTAAAATGGATTAGATTAAGATTGGATTTAGATTAGATTAGATTTAGATTTAGATAGATAGATAGATAGATAGATATATAATATAGATGGATAGATAGATGTATGGATAGATAGATAGATACCATGTGTACCATGTGTACCATGTGTACGATGGTTTAAGTGATGTCCGCTATAGATCTGTAAGCATTTCGGTTATAGTTGGGCGGGCAAACAGCTCAGATTCCCCCACTTAACGTGGTGCCAGCCAAGTAGAACACAAAGGGGCTCATCATTGGCTTTACCAACCTGTACAGTGTACAGTATGTGGGTGAAAGACCAACTACACATTCCAAAAGTTAGCAAATTGCAAAAGTGTGGTTTGATGAAAAACCAGGCGGCTTGTTGCTCAGAAAAGCCTACCCTACCTTAAGGTCGTAGGATAGGGTGATCCACGGGAATGTCAGCAACATGTGCCCAATGATTGGCATCTTATGACCTTTGCATTGGTCAAACATCAAACATGCCTGCAGTTTTCTTGCTGTGCAAGTTTTTGGAAGGTCTGCTATTTGTACTCTGCTAGGCCTTGAGAGGACAACAGGGGTGCCAGTGATTGTATACTTTATGCACTGCTTAATTTGGTTGCACCACTGGCAATCATTTACAACGAATGGCAAAGACAATTAGCAAACAGCGCATGCTAGTCCAGCTGTCACGGATAAACATGTATATCTTGTTTAATATGTTTTCCATTGATCTGGTGCTCTGGGATATCCACTGGCTGAAGTAAGACCTTAGCGAATCAAAAATCGAGACCGCAAACAGTGATTTGCATAGCCACACACACACCGAAAAAATCACCTGCTGGCCAAATTTGACAAACATCAGCCCAGCTATGCACTTTGAGCCCCCACTCAGCTGCGTGGCGCAGGACGAATCGTCGCATAGGTTGGTCTTCTATTTTGTACACCTGTTCCAGCGAGAGAAGAAATGATCGAAGGAAAAAATAACATTCGGGTCCGGCCTGCAACGTGATTGTTCGCACTGTCGCCCGAACCATGTGATCCTTGTGGCCTTGGGCATGCACTTTAGTTCTCACATGTTCAACCCCAGGTATTTGAAAAAGGATTGAACAATGACACTGCAACAAAGAATAATGCCAGCGGAATCGTGCGAAGAGGATTCGCACTTCTGTCACACATATGCAGGAAGCATTCATGCGCTCTCATCACGTCATTTCCTAGATTCAAATGTCTACTCAGCGTCTATGCTTGCTTGCCCTCAGTGCGCCAGGGATGGTTCTCGTTGAAGTCAGGATGTGTCTTGAGGTTGTGCGGCCTGGTTTTCCAATAGCAGGTGCGCCTCCAACGAAAAGCATCATACTCACAATCACTACGTCTGCGCTTGTTCTCCTGTAGTCGCTGGCACTGAATGTACTTCTTCTTGTAGACACGGTCACAGTGGGATTTGCGCCACGAAGGCAAGCTCTGGCCAGCATACCTTGAAGGAATTGGTGGTGGGAACTGGTATGCTTCTTGACCTGCTGGAAATTTGTAGCCCATGTCTTTGCGGCGCAAGTACTCAAAGCGGGTGAACATCACCTCAGCATCATCTGCGGCTTTTGCTCCACCAAGCGCTCCTGCCTCATGACCAGCAGGGATCTCTGCTCGTGGGCTCTGCGCTGGTGGTGGAAAGCCATGCGGGCTGGCCCCAGTGACGGTGAAGGCCGCACCACTGTGACGCACTGTGAACCAGGCGCAGAAGGCACAAGCCCAAAGCACCAGAGCTGGGAGCACAGATGGCCGCTGTGACGGCATGGCTTGACCCCTGGAAAACTGTAGCAATTGGCCTGTGCCAAAAGAACAGCGGCAGTCGTGTGATGGATTTCCAACAAGCTACCAACGCTACCAGGCTCGTACATCTTCCAAAGCCAACAACATACAGGGTCTCTGTGAAAAATACATGCATGTAATTTGTCTTGTCGACCTTTGGGATGCTGAGAAGACTCACTACAATGACCTGCAGTGATGGACATGCATGCAACTATTTGCACCAAATCTAACCAACCAAACCGACCAACCAAGCAACCAAGCAACCAACCAACCAACCAATCACATGAAGAAGCTGTGAATCTCTATAACATTTTTTCAGGCGCATTGCGCGCGAGAAGGTAGCTTTCAGGATCCTTCAGGCTAGTACTGCCAGCTCTCAGCTATGCTTGCTTGCCCGCAGTGCGCCAAGGATGGTTCTCGTTGAAGTCAGGATGTGTCTTGAGGTTGTGCGGCCTGGTTTTCCAATAGCAGGTGCGCCTCCAACGAAAAGCATCATACTCACAATCACTACGTCTGCGCTTGTTCTCCTGTAGTCGCTGGCACTGAATGTACTTCTTCTTGTAGACACGGTCACAGTGGGATTTGCGCCACGAAGGCAAGCTCTGGCCAGCATACCTTGAAGGAATTGGTGGTGGGAACTGGTATGCTTCTTGACCTGCTGGAAATTTGTAGCCCATGTCTTTGCGGCGCAAGTACTCAAAGCGGGTGAACATCACCTTAGCATCATCTGCGGCTTTTGCTCCACCAAGCGCTCCTGCCTCATGACCAGCAGGGATCTCTGCTCGTGGGCTCTGCGCTGGTGGTGGAAAGCCATGCGGGCTGGCCCCAGTGACGGTGAAGGCTGCACCACTGTGACGCACTGTGAACCAGGCGCAGAAGGCACAAGCCCAAAGCACCAGAGCTGGGAGCACAGATGGCCGCTGTGACGGCATGGTCAATTTGCGCACTGCAACTGGTGCGCTGGTATGTCACTACCTTGAAACCAAAAGAGGCGGCGAACATGAACCGACAGAAGATTGTTACCATTGAGTAGGTCAATCCACCAAACAGTCCTGATAGCCTACAAAAGCTCTTCTTCATCCGGTCACAAACACACAGCGCGCGAAAGAAAGCTGAAGTCACATGAACCCACATGAAAGCAAAAGGTTAGTCACAAAGCTAACAAGGATCCAGGCTGAAGAATTTGGTTGCTTCAATGTAGAGCGGAAAAGACGGCCTCAAGGGTTCAATGATCTTGGCATCCTGGCAACAAAAGGCATTGGAATGAAGAAGGGCTGGGTTCCCTGCTCTGGATGCTGAATGAAGAAAAACCTCAGTCAAAGAAGCGATCAAGTTTGCATGACGAAGGAGTTCGGCTTTTGGTCAGTTGCCAAGGCATGTGCTTGATGGATTCATTGTCAAGTCGCATTGCCAGAGACCTTGGAAAACTGTGGGACAGATGCCAAACAAGGCAACTTTGGTTCGGCGCGATATATCTGTAAGGCCCCGCTTCATCAAGGTAATGTAATACGCAAGAACTTCCTCGTCGTCAAAGTCCATGTTGGTCGACTGGCAGATGTGAAAGGCCTACTAAGCCCTTGTTGGTGCATGCAGCAACACGTAGCTCTTGGTAAATGCTCAACAGCCCCGGCCATCAGTCTGTTGACATGGTTATTGCTGAGGATGTAGTAGACAGACCTTGGGCTATTCGGAACCAGACATGCCCCACAATCCTGCAATCTGAGCAACTGTGGGCGCTAACGTCTGCCGTCGAATGTTCTGAACCAGCATGGACAAGGTCTGAAGTAGCTGCAGCTTGACCTGCACTAGACTTCTCAAACTGGCACTATGAAATCCCGTCCCAAGTGTTTCTTGCTACAAAAAGGCCTTCTTGGAGGCTTTCTTTAGACCAAGAACATGTACCAGATCGGAGAAAATACTCCTAAGCCACAGTGTCACATGAGCTCTGGGGGTTGACAAGCTCTGGCACTCTCTGAAGCTCTTGGACTCAGGCTTCTCGCAAAAAAAGTCAAAGAATTGGCCTTTCATCTCCAGGTTCTTCAGACGTAGCTTCAAAAAAACACGGTGTATGCCATGTATGCTCATGGCTTGCCAAAGGGCAGCCCAAGTGTTTATGAATTTGAAATATTTTGAAATTAGGATCTCAGGCTATCTCAGGCTCAGGTGTTCCCAGTTCCCAGAATATGGACCCCACATGGGTTTACAAGGCTCCCCAAACAGTCCCGCCACAGGCTTGCATCACGTTGCGAACCTTTCAACATCTTCAATTGCGTGCGTCTGTGCTCTTGGTAGCATCAAATCATCATGTCTCATGTGTTGTCTCCCTCCCTGCTGCCCGTTGAGTACAGATCTCTCTACCCATCGCCATCTCGTCGAGTTCAAGACCACTGTATGTACATAGTGTGTATTTATGATGTGTATGCATGTGCATTTGTAATATTATACATATATCATATAATAAATATATATACTGTATATATATATATATAACGTGTGATGCGTGCGTGCGTGCGTGCGTGGTTGCGTGCGTGCGTGCGTGGGTGGGGTGGGTGGGGGGTGGGTGGGTGGGTGGGTGGGTGGGGGGGCGTGGGGCGTGCGTGCTGTCGTGCATGCGTGGTGCTGAGTGCGGGCGTGCGTGGCGTGCGTGCGGTGGGTGGGTGGGTGGTGGGGGTGTGTGTGTGTGTGCGTGTGTTGTGTGTGTGTACCGTCTGAATAGACGTAAAACTTCTTATACTTTAGATATTTATATATGCGGGGGGTCACCGGGGTCCCTGGGAGGTCGGTGACCATCGAAGACACCTCCCGGGGACCCGTGTAAACGTACCCGCGGGACTGTGGTGACGCACCTGGGCGCAATTGTAAGACGCAGCTGGTGGTCACCATAGTCCCATATATATATATATATTTCATCCATATCTAAGTAACTAATCTAATCTGCATGTCACAGGACTCAGTTCCTGCCGGATCATATAATGATCCATTCTTGTCTAGTGTGATTTCCATGGTGGCTCCGACATGGTGCCATGGAGCCATTTGAGGCAACCCTTCTTAGGGTGAGTGATGACTGTCCTGACTGCCGAATTAACACATTTTAACTTAGTAATTCGTCTAAGTAAAGGGCAACAATCAGCCTTATGGTTATCCAGCCTTTTGAGATTGTCCCGCTGATCTTGTGGTCCCAGGGATCCCAGTGAGCTGCTCTTTCAAGTGAAGCCGTGCTGAACGTCGGAAACCTCTCATTTTCGCAGCTGCTTTTGATGACTCACGACAACAACATTTGCTATAGGAATCAGGCAGGCACACGACTTTCCGGTGTGGTATTCCTTCCTTTTGGTTCTCTGGTGAGGTGAAACATTTTGTGCATCTAATTCGTTGGAACTTGAAAGCTGTTTTATGCCATTGCGGCACGACTTGACCACGGTCCCGGTGCAGGGAATAATCGCATGACTCTTAGGAATTTAGGGACTGAATCCTGTTTGTTGTTTGGTTTTGTTTTCACCAACTAGTTCCCCATTGGTCCCCTATCTCATGCTTCCTTCCCCCCCCAGGTAGGTTGGCTCCGTCGCGTGCTGAGGTTTTTGTAGGTTTTCGCTGTGTCAGGTTGGTTCAGGCGCTTCCGTCTTCCCCCCCCTCCGTTGGTCTTGGTCCGTGTCCGTCGACCCTCCGCTTTTTCTTTTCCCTTGCCTTTTCAGGGTTCGCCCGTTCCGGGCTAGGTGTGTTGGTGTGTGTTTTCTCCTTCCCTCTTCTTTTGCGTTCCCCTCTTCGCGTCCTGGTTAAGTAACTTTCATCTCATTTTCACTCTCATCTCATCTTTCATCCCCTGTTCATCCTCATCTTCATCTCATGTTTACGCGCACCACCCTGCCGGAGGCAGGGTGTGTGTGTGTACCGTCTGAATAGACGTAAAACTTCTTATACTTTATATATTTATATATGCGGGGGGTCACCGGGGTCCCTGGGAGGTCGGTGACCATCGAAGACACCTCCCGGGGACCCGTGTAAACGTACCCGCGGGACTGTGGTGACGCACCTGGGCGCAATTGTAAGACGCAGCTGGTGGTCACCATAGTCCCATATATATATATATATTTCATCCATATCTAAGTAACTAATCTAATCTGCATGTCACAGGACTCAGTTCCTGCCGGATCATATAATGATCCATTCTTGTCTAGTGTGTGTGTGTGTTTTTTTCCTACACACCTTTTCACCTGCAACATCCGAAAAGGCTTGTGCCTGCCCTCAACGAAAAATTCATCGTTGGTTCCATGAAGGAAACAAATAGGCCATGTGAGACATCAAGATGAAAGTGAAAAGCCATCTTGAACTGATTGGAGAAAGGAAGAAATCCAGAGTCACCTCATGTCAAATCAGTGGCGCCGGTCTGAGCTTGAAGGAGAGTCAGCAGCTCATTCATGGGTGCAGCATAGGAACTGTCGGATCGCATTTCTTCTACTACACTGGATGCTGTCATGGGTTCAAGCATGCCCTCAGGGTTCTCAGGGTTCACGGTGGCAACTGTCATTGGGAGATAGGTGTGTTGGCGCAGGCAATCAGTGCGCACCAGCCACACCACTGTCAGATTCTGTGCAAACCAAGTCGGAACATTCCAGATTGGTTGAGGTGCTGTGTCATCTTCTGTTGTCAACCATGCGGCAGGCTGACACGCTGTGACCATCGACGGCATCAGCTTCAGCAAGGCACGGCAGTGCCCAGCAAGGTCTGTTCCAAGATGCGCCACACCCGCAACCGGTATGTATCCAGAGAAATCAAATCGCAAATCTGTGGAAATGAAAACTGGCATGTTGACTTCCGTCACCATCTCAAGTTTGCATAAACTGCGTTCAATGGCGCCATCAGCCGCCTGGAAAAAGCGGTCAATGGCCAAGCAGAGACATGGTGGCGCCTGCAACAGCGCTGTCTTCATGGAAAGCTCCTGCATCCAGGTTGAAATCAGATCTGTGAAAGTACAATGGCCAGTCATGTGCATGTGCGGTGTGATGGTCAAAGTGATGGGAGTGAGCTCAGTGTTGCAGTCCAAAACAACCAGACCATCTGCTGTTTCCAAACGTCTTTCCCATCGCATGTTAAATGCTCCTGAACTGAGCCAAGTCAACAGACGACATGTGCATTCTGCACAATCTTTCTGGCCCTGGCTAGGCCCCCAATCACACAAAATGCCCCTAACCCATGGAAACTCGGCCAGCTTTGCCGATGTTGCAGCATGTTGCTGCAAAAAGGCTGTCAGAGTCGCATGATGTGGTCCCCACGCATTGGATGGTATGGCATCCAAGTTCAAAAGCGTCCATAAGAGGCAGTAGGTGCAGCTGTTGAGGTAGCACCAGTTGCCATCATTGGTCAATATCAGCTTGTACAAGCTAGACACGAGAGATGGAATCAGGTCTGTGTCTTCCCGGCCCTTGCAAAGCAGCCTCATGTCTCCTGTTTCGGAGAAGTCCTGCCCTTGAGTTGGCCTTTGCCGCGGCCCTTGCCTTTGGAGGAGCCCATCAACGTCTGAAGAGTCGTGGCCATCGGTGACTGGTTCAGGGAATGTGGTTTCATTGTGGCCCCCACTGCCATCCAAACTGAGCAATGACACAGCTGAAAAAGCAGGTCGTAGACCCTGTCGCTGCGCAGGTTGATCTGAAGGCGCCATGGGACGGCCTTGGTGGATGTCCCCTTTGGAGCGCTCAAGGCATGGAAACGAACCACAATCTCCTTGTCCAACAGCGTCTCTTGGAGTTCCGTCAAATGTTGGAACATCTTCTGGGCACTGATGGGCTGCTTTTTGTCGATGACCAGCTTCTGTTGATGTTGATCCCATCGATGGAAGGGGAAGCTCCTGTCTGCCAGAATCAAGCCCATCTGCACCGAGGTTTGGTACAATGGTTCCGTGTCCTTGCTCTCCACAATCTTCCCTGCATTGACGTGCAGCGATTTGATCAGGGCCAGGACCAAGTGCTGTCTCAGTGGCTGATGAAGTTGTTGTGGCTTGGTTTCCATCCCCTGTCTCCACTGTGTGGACTCCTGGACCAAAAGATGCAACGCTCCTGTCGGATCTGGATTCAAAAAAAGAATGAATTGATCTGTTCTGCGAAGACTGTGCATTTCTTGATCGTGGCGTATCAAGAGATGTGCCATGGTGTTGATCAGCTGAAGGGCCTTGCTGGGTGTTTTGGCCTGACTGACCTCGTCTGCTTCTGGGGTACTTGGCCCTCCTCGTCTGGGGGCCTTCGCCCTGCGAGGGTTTGGGGCCAGGTTCAGTGTCTTGTCCAGCAGCGGCGCCAGCTGGCCAAAGGTGCTCATCATCTGCTCCGAGATGCTCTGGTCGGTGTCCCCCAGAAAGGAGTCCATGTTGGAGTCTGCTGCCATTCAGTATGGAGCCCAGCAAGAGGGCCACTTGGATGAGCACAGGGCAGGATCCACGCAGGTGTGACTGGGCCAAAACAACACGTTCATGCAGTGGTTCATCAGGGCGCAAGTGAGCAGGAAGGTTGAAAATCAATGTACACAAATGGCATTGATAATCATCAGGATTGATTGCATGAACAACTGGCAAGAGCTGCTCCATGTAAAAGAGAACCATTTCATGTCCACAAGGATGCTCCTCACGTAGGTGCAATGCCAGGTCAGCAGGCAATGGTCGAGCACCGCAAAAAAGGCACTGGCTGCGCATCAATTGCAGTATCTCAGGGTCCTGCCAAAGATCATGAAACTGTCTGTGAACCACTTTCTGTTCCAACTTGTACTGGGCTGCACGTGGCAAGAGCTCTGAAAAGATGGCCTTCAGCGTTGTGTCAGTCACCAGGGTGGGAGCAAAGGGCTCTCGATTCAGCCTGTGAAAACACATTGCAATCTGTCGCAGTGGCAGGCAAATATGATTGCCTCTCTTGACCCCCAGCATTGGATTGCAAAAACACTGATTTTTGGCAAAGGCGGCAACCAGAACTAAAGTAAGACGCCTGGACAAGCGCCACAGCCTGGAGTGCGCTGTCTGTAGATGGAGCGCTAAGTCAGCAGC